GAAGGCAAGTAAAGCGGCGCTTTCCAACAAATTCTTTGATATCGCATTGTGCGCGCTGTGTATACCAGCAGCCACACGTTACCGAGTTATTTACAGACAGTCTTTCAGCCAATTCCCCCTTTTTCGTTCGTTCGGCAGCACAGGATTATTCGCGGTCTATCGCCCTCGCTCCGATATGAAATCTTTAGAGGACGCCAGCCATTGTGGTTCGTTCGTTTTATGTTGTTTTCGCAAAATTCGGCGAATGCACGAAGACGTCGTGTTAAATCGAATTGCTATAGAACGAACGGTATGAGAAAAAAAATGATGAAACGTCGATGGGCTGTTGTTTCGTGGCCTCTTGTTCGTGTCACTTATGCTGCGGTCTATGTCACTTGCCAAAGTACCTGCACTGAAAGCTCTAATAACTTTATTCGCACCGCTTAAACGATCGGATCTGCCCGGACTATTTTCCTATGGTACTGCATTACTAAAACCTCTATCTTCCATTTGAAAGTAACATCAAGTCTGACAAGTGCAAGGCGCAGCTTATAGCCCGAGCTTTTCAACAAAAATCTGGCCATTCGGAGTAGATTTACAGCAGAAAAGGCCGAGCGTTAGTAAGACAAACGCTCGCTCGAGACGCAAAGTCTAATGCACTCGGGCTCGTTCCGCTCGCAGATTTTCTCTCTGGTTTCTTTCTCCGCCAGCTCCTCGATGCGAGCAACAAAAGGCTCTCTTTCCCTCTCAACAAGTTCCCTCGCGATTCCTTCCGCCGGTTGATTTCTCTCATTATCGCGGCCGTTCTACAATCAGAGCGTGGGGTAGACAATGTAGCTCGTCTCCAACTCTTGGATCGAGTTGTGGCTTCCACGCGCGTACACGCGCTACTCTGGCAAGCGCTAATGCACTCTCTCTCTCTCTCTCTCTCTCTCGGCCAGTGCACAGAATGCGCGCCAGCGCTCCAAAGTCCTTCTGCAGTTTGGGCTAGCAGTGAATGAGAGAGAAAAGCATCGAGGCGTTTGCTACCACAACCACCATCAGAAATGTTGGCTCCGCGCTCCCTTTGTCCGCGCTTGCCCGTAGCGAGCTAACGCTGAGCTCCTTCATTTTTTTTTTGTTAATTTTCGCCAGAGAACATTTCTACCGTAAAAAGTGTGCTAATGCCCTAGCAATTTTCACTACTCAAGTAGTCCAGCTTAAGCTTTTGTCCGACTTCTCTCTCTCTCTCTCTCTCTCTCTCCCTCTCCCTCGTTCGCCTTCAGTAATAAATTGTTGTGGCTACGCGACTGCTGATGAAGACTGATGGCAGACTGGCAGACAGCGATTAGCCTTGATTCCGTGATTTCTTTGAATTTTTAAGTAGCGCCAGATGACGTTATGGACAAGTAATGAGGCCCTTTGTTCTAGGCATTGCACGGTAAAGTTTGTTGAAATACTGACGAGTGTGAAAATGATGTACGTAGCTTTTATCACTTTACTTTTATGATAAATCATATAATCCTGATGAAAAAATTAAAAAAGTTTCACGCGTTCATGGATTTTAACAAGATTCCGTATGCAATAGCTCTCGAGGTTGCTGAATCCAAATTTGGCACCAGAATCACGTTTTTGGAGCATCATTGTTGCTTCTATTTTATTTAATGAGCGTAATAATTGCTGCGTAATGTTTCGCATACTTGAAAAAGATCTCATTATGTATAGCACAGAGTTGGAGTTGACGGAATACGGCCAAAGGCGAGTGGGAGGCAATTCAGTAGCTCTTTCTCTCGCTCTCTCGGGTTGGTCGCGGTGCACCGCGGCTGATGAACTCGAGGTTAGGAGGGTTGTTTTTAAAAGGTCTGCCTACAGAGAAGTGGATTTAACGCTTTCACTATGCAGCTCTCCGGCGCGAGGTTTTCTTTCTTATTACGGATAAATTAAGAGAATGGAGCTTTCACTTTGAGAGTACATAGAGACAAGCTCTAGTAGCGGTGCGGTTCGTTAGCTCAAGCTCAAGCTCAAGCGGGAGAGTTAGAGAGAAAGATGTTCCGTTAGGAAAAATGCTCGAAAATAAAAGAGATTGAGCCGTTCGGGCGCGAGTCGAATAAAAATTTTAAACATATCCGGGGGCATAGCAGCTGTATAGTGCGCTTCCGCCTATAAAATCTCGTTCATTGTAGCGCGCACTTGTCAGTACTTTCGAGCTATTTACTAAACGGCGGCAGGGGCAGGCTAGAAGGAAAGTAGATCTGCACATAAATGTGGAGGAAAAAGCTTTAGCCATTCGGATTTTACATGCAGCAGCGGCAACATAGTACGCATTGTGAACAGACACGGAAAATTTCTTGCCTTCTGCCTTTGCACCCTTTTACATCTGGCGCGTCGATAAATGATAAAACGAGTTGCATCGCATGCTATGCGCCCACGTTTATGCTCACTGCATATCTCCTCTAGAATTCAATTCAATTGATATTTTTACGGTGTTCGAAGCTCGAGCACGACGCTTATTCTTGTTTGTCTGTCTTGTTCTGGGCGCGGTCGCGCAGTGCAATCGTCTGCCAATCGAACATACTTGGCGCAAATTTCGGCGTCGTCATCCAGAGGAGAGGAGGCGAAGGAACCGTTGAATAATAAATTTATCCGAGAGGCGTATGCACGTAGGCGTAGAAAGTTTGCCAACGAGCGTCGAATAAATGGAACTGCACGTGAATAACTTTCTTATTAGTAACTAACGTGCTGGCGGCATGGCGCTCGCTTTACCTTCCTATCTGGATAATAGACGTACAGAGCGACCAAATCTCGCGCGCGACCGAGTGCATGCCAGGGGCTTGATGTAATATATATTCATGAGAGCTTGTCGAAGTCGGCGCATATATGGACAAAAGCATTGTCCGCTGCTCGCTAAAATTTGCCACAATACCGCATCCGGCCCCGTGCACCTACACGCGCACTCTACCTCCATAAAGCATAATCAACAGACCCGATGATTTATTCGTAACGCGTGATTGCTCCATTTTCCTAAGTCAGTCGCTCAGTGTCGTAAGTCTGGCGGATTAGGTACTTGATGCTCAACAAAGAGAGAGAGAGAGAGTGAGAGAGAGAGGGACTTGACACGCGAAACCTCTTTGATTCCCGGTCGATGCGCCCCAACCATGTATCAACGTATCGTGCCCGGTTTGCGGCTATTTTCATGTTTTCGTGCTCTATTGCCTGTTACACTCGCTGTCCATGCATGCACTCTTCAGTCGCGCCAAACATCGATAAATATCTTGGTCAATGAAGGCGAACGACCGCGTTTCGATCTTTTTTCCTACGCTACAGTTTCTACGCTCAAAAATCGACAAACTTTTACTTATTTGCCTGTGATGGCTTTCGCGATATTGCTGTCGACCAAACTATTAGCAGAAGTGTCGATCGATTATTAGATTAAGAGACTCGCGATCTGGTATGCAGAACGCCGAATCTATGGAAATAGTAAAATAAGAAAGTGGCGTTTTTTAGGCAATCTGAGTTTGCTTACGCTCTCTCCCACTCATTCAAACTAGCGTGAACGCTGATCAAACCAACGATTGGCGTATATTATAGTACACGGAAAATGGCATTCAAACTAACAAATTTTGGTCACGCCGCGCCGTTGCGTTTAAAAAAGCTTCGGAGAATCGCATCAGAATAATAAAAAAAGTTGCTAAGGCGGACGAGCAGCCTGCGCATATACCTACGAAGCGGGCGTGTCGCGTATAAGGTATAATCCGTAGCGAGCAAGAGTGACATGTACAACTAGGCTGTACGTACGTGAGAACCTCTCTCACAGGCTTGAAATAATAAAAAAGATTTTTATTTTTCGTACGCGCTATACTTGCGTGGGCACATTTTTCATGTAGCACGTGGACGCAGCTTCTATATATATATTTCCACCAAGTGCGTTGCCTGCAATGACGTGCTTCTGACAGTGCACTTAATAGCCAATTTCGCGTTTCTACGGAAAGTTGAACCTGGATCTCTCTCTCTCTCTTTCTCACACGGGAAAATGATGATACTTTGATGGCTTGTTTATACTCGATAGTAAAGGATTTTTTTACTGCAAAAAATAGCAACATATAGCCTGCAGGAGCTTGCCATACGGTCTGTAGCTTGCGTTATTATAGGCAATCCGCTTATATACTTTTTTTGTCGCGCGAGTTTTTATGTGTGTGTTCGTGTAAAATATGTCTGTATATATATACGCTGGTTTTAATATGCACTTTGAGTATTAACGGGAATATTTTCAGCGAGAAAAATTGTAATACTTTTTAGTACATAAGCAGACTATTAGGGACATGTAATGTTCGATTACACGTTTTGAACAATGTTATATGTAAAGCAGACATGTTGAAGAAATGAGACAAATTTAATTTCTCCGTAAAACAGTCATTATCACTGTACACGACGTACAGAAATGTCGTACTTGAATTTGTCACAGTTTTATTTTCTTCACTGAACTTATTTTACAAATATAAAAAGCGTATTTATTCCTGGAATGCTCATAATTATCAATTAATTTCGTTATAAGATATAATTTTAGCCATTCCTTTTGTTTGTTATAAAGATATCTAATTTCAATTTTTTCAACATGCTTTTTATTTTATGTTGTTATGTCGAGTTGCTAATTCGATTTTTATTGTTTTCTTATTTTATTGTATAATTTCTACAGTGATAATAAAGATCTTATCTAAAGTCTATATAGGCAATCTTGTATCAATTCCGTCCACACAATCAAAGTAATTCGAGTCATCGACCTTATGATTATCAATTGAAACAAATTTTTATTTAGAACATTGAAAAATATCGAACATTAACAAAATCTGAATTGTATTCATCGAACGTGGATCATGTGATAAATGATCGTCTGCATCTATAATGCAAACCCTCTATTTGCATTTGCAATGGTTTACCCATAGATTGGAAACTGCGTGCGCTTGGTATAGCTTGGTTTACATGTTAGTTACTGTAGAATGGCGCTGGTATCACTGATCTGATAGCAGAAAACTTGAAAACATAAACAACAATCAAATTGTGTGGACTGTCGATTGTGATTGCGATAAATAAGTGATGAAACCATGAAATGATTGAAAAATGTGTCATATCAAAGTCTTGAGAAGGAGGTTTTCTCAACTAATCAGTGTCGACGTTTCGTATAAGAGTGACTAATTGCGTTCATTCTATTGTTAATCGAGAATATTGTTTCCAAGTGCTAGCCTTAGCAACAAGTAGTCGAACAATGACATTACTCAAGACAAAAACGTTGTTTTACAATGCATTTATTACAATAATTTTTATAAATAATATTTCCTCGGCGTCTTCACTGCAGTGTAAAGGAGAAAATAATCAAGATGTTGATTGGTATGTATGTCAAAATTCATTTATTTTTTTTTTTAAATTGACACACATAACATTTGATTTTGATTATATACTTTTACAGGTATATTTTATACAAAATTCCAAAAATACTGAATAGTAGCGATCCCTTAATCAGAGAAGGGGTTGCATACTTATATATGGATAGTGAAAGTTTTACAAATGGTTGGACTTTATCGCATCAAGATATTACCTCAAACAATTCTATTCCAGCATACACTCTTGCTCCACTTTATAAAGATGTAAATACTGATTTTTCAAAATTTATATTACTAGATTACTAATACAAATTTTCTTTTACAAAAATGCAGAGGGATGCTAATAATTTAATATGGTTGTTATACAATGACCAACCTCCTAATCAACCAGCAACTCTGAATAATGGACACACAAAAGGTGCAATAATTGCAAATGAGAAAAGTGGTTTTTGGCTAATACACAGTGTACCAAATTTTCCACCACAACCAAATACTGGAGAAAAAGTGCAAAGTGTTAGAAGTAGCAAATCTGAAGATGACAAGGATGTCGAAAAATCAAACGTTGTGGTACCAACTGGTGGTTATGCATATCCTTCATCTGGGAAACAAAATGGTCAAAGTTTTTTGTGCATCTCAACTAATGACCTTAATTTTGATATCATTGGCAAACAGTTAATGTACAATCAAATCATTGTTTATCGAAGAAATATACCTGAAAATTTATCTAACAAATATAGTATTCTTGCTAAGGCAGCTCAACAAACTCATGTCAAGAAAGCACCATTCAACAATAAAGAAAGTATATATTCTACAAGTAGGATGGAATTCATGACCTTTGCTAAGAGCAGTAAATGGGGCAAAGGTTGGCATTGGCATTGTCAATTATAAAAATAAACTAAATTCAAAACTTAAATTAATTTTTCAATTTTTAGATTTATACGATGACTTTGTAGCACCACAATTAGGAATTGACATGTATGCTGAGACATGGCTCAATGGACGTGGAAGATTACCTTCTGAATGTAATCATACAAGGTACTTAATGTATTAAAAATTTAATTAAAAACAAATCTACTTAATTAATTATCATAATAATTGGTTTTAGAGTTTTGAATGTGCATTCTATATCTTTGACAGAGGCTAAAGTTCATTTCAAAAGTTCTCATGATCATTCTAAATGGGCTGTAGCTATTGATGGAAAACAAAAAGCAACATGGGTGTGTGTTGGTGACATAAATAGAGCTGTAAGTTTATTCTTTCAGTTAAAACATTATTAATGTATAAAATACATTTGAAGTATGATATTGAATTTTTTTCAGAAAACACAATTTGACAGAGGTGGTGGAACTGTATGTTTCAATTCACCTGAAGTTTGGAAGAACTATAAAAACTCAATTGATGACGTGGAACCTTGTCCAAAAACTAATTCAAAAGATTTTATGTCTAGGTTGAGGTCTTGGCTGTATTTTTAGTGCAATATAAAGAGTATATGCTTGATACTTTGATTACTGGTAATAGTATTATTTTTTATATTGTGTACATCTTTCTTTGATACGCATTTTAAATAATAAAAATATTCTTCAAAGTTATCAAATAATTTTATAATAAAATTAACTTTATTGTAAAATGGAAATCGTTGTATAAATAAAAATTCAAGTTTCTATATACTATACATAGTGTATTTGATGACATTGTGGTATAAAATAATACTACAATATTTATTATTCAATAAAAAATTTTTTATTTTTTAAAACTGTAAATAATATAAATAAATAATATAATAATATATAAATCATTATAAATTAAAATATACAATGAGATATAACTTTTTCTGCTATTTCGATTATGATTCACATTTGTGAGAGTTTTAAGAGAGTATTTCCAGAGATTAAGAAGGTATTTAACTTTGAATTGAGATGAATATATAACATTGGCTGATACAAACGATCCTCTACCAAACCCAAAATTGAACCGCCAAGCTTGGGCACTGATAAAATCGCACTAACGAGGTATCTCAAGCCCGAAACCGAGTTCGTTTCGAGTAAATTCGAGCCTGACGTAAGCCCGACAGCGAGCTCGCGTCTAGAGTGTTTCAGGCTCGCTAAGGTCTCAACGCAAAGTCGAAGCGAGCTTAATAGCACTCAGTGTGAGCATGAAATATTATGGTGAATATCGTAATCAACGACGAGTTCTCTAGTCAACTGTCAGTCTCGATGGCGAACTCGCTAGATTGACTCGCTAGTTGAAGAATCCATCAGCAAGCTCGTACTACTGAAACCGAGCTCGTGCTGAGTAAAATTGACTCCAAAGCAAGCCCGACAATGAGTTTGCGTCGAGCGTGTTTGGAGACCTCAGCAAGTCCGAATTACAACCTCGACAGCATTTGCTACTGGCTCGTTAGCAACATATTTCGGGCTTGAAAGATCCCGCTAACGAGCTTACTTCAACCTGTCACAAATATGAATCGAAATTCTAGTTGAATCTAATCTAAATTGAAATTTCAATAATTTCATATTTACCTCGATTAATGGTGACACAAGCCTAACTTTTCAATGAAAAAGAGTATTGTATTTTGAAATAGAAGGTATGAAAGTAGGGAACGAGAATCCCCACTTGTATGGATATAAGTAAATAATTATAAACCAAATCCATTTTTGGGCCAAAAGATCGAAGTATAGATTATACATTTTCATATTATTCTGTCTATGTATGAGTGTGTGTGTCTACACACATTAAGAACGTATAATAAATGAATTTTCAAAATAAACAGTTATGCTATATCAAATTTATAATCCATTTTTCACGGCAAAACATTAAAATCCTATGTGTTTAAATTTAAACGTTTAAAGTGTGTAATTGTGACGTCACCCATAAGAAATACATTGTCGTTGAATTTAAACGTTTAGAAGTGTTTAAAATTGAGGACAATGTATTTCTTATGGATGACATCATATTAAACATTTAAATTTAAACACATGGGTTTACCGTGTTTATCTAAAACTTTACTGTTAAATACAGTAATTAAATCTACCTTAGTGTGGCTTTTTCTGATAAACTAAATCAGGTTTTAAGATTATTCGTATTAACCTTTCAATCGAATCAAATATTGTATAGTAAATCGTATTTATCAAATAAATAATTATGCCAGATTCAATATTTATTGTACTGTATAAGGAGGACTTGCGGTATCCCACACCGAAAGAAATTATATAGTAATGATTACTAATAAAAATATAAATCATTACTATATTTTATCGAGACATAGCGAATTGACCATATAATGTAGTTTGTACTAAATAAAATCTAAAATTAATTACAATAAAAAATGCTATCGTTCATTGCGTGTCAAACTATTTATGAAAAGTAATAATTAACATAGCATCATGATTCCACAATGTTTGTAAAGTTTGAAAAATGTTTTCTTTGATATAATCACGTTATAAAGCCAAATGGATTGTATACCTCTTACGAGCAATCTATTAATAAAACAGGTAAGGGTTTCATTCACAAAAGTGCTCGATGTTTACATTTCAAACTAAATCATCCGGTGCATATAAATACGTGTGTGTACGGTCGGTAATGCAGTATTCATGTAAAGCAGGCGTTCTTTTAATCACCGCCTACTACTTAAGTTGAGGGCTGAGGCTCCAGCATCAAGGCGAGTATAACACGGGTACGGCTGGTACGGCGCAGGCTGGAGCAACTGTAGGGCGCAGTGGGTGCAGAGAGCACACAAGACAAAAATAGTCACACCAGGGTATTTTATCTAGAAAGCGGAAATTCAACATGGCGAATCGCGCTTTAGTAGTGTCATAAGTGCGTGTGCCCGCGAACGAGGATGTCAATGTGATAAGAGCAGGCGAGCAATGAACATCGATTATACGATGGGCGGAGGCGTGTATGACTGACGGACGCAAATAGATCTATCTTTCTCCTCTTGCGCGCTTAAATCGCCCCTCACAGGTACGTGTGTACGAGCACTGATCACGAGATTAAAAATTATGTGTGCGCGTGCGTACATATAATACGTGTGTATTGTATATATCATCATATATTCAAGCTGCTCTCCTCGGTCTCTTGTGGGATGCTGTGCTTTCTTTCTCCACCGTAAATTTAATCAAAGTCTGTGAGTTTGTATTTAAATGTTGCAGCCAGGATGAAGTTGTCAACTACCGCGAATGGAAGTTTTCGGCGGGCTGGAGCAAGTTTGATTACTTGTTTACTATTCACTTAATCCTCCTCGGTGTTTAGAGATTTTTCGCATGGAGCCGACATTCCCAAAGAGAGCACGTTCGTTCAATAAGCGCCTTTGTGCTCTTGCGTGCATCTTTTAATTGGTGCGTAACATTAACTTTTCTTTATTATTTTGGTTGTATGATACTCTTTGCACAAATTTCTATGTGATCATATTGTTCACCCCTCAAATAAACTAAAAACGGAAAATTTGTATCGATTTCCAAATTTGTTGCTTCTGAATGGACTGCCTTTTTCTCAGAAGCTATTTCTGACTTATAGAATTTGAAAATACAAATAAATAAAATATATAAATTTTAGATTTATATAGCAAACATTTAAAATATTGGTTTATTTTTTGCAGCTGTTCATTGAAAAAAGTTACCAGGAAAATCATTTGATTCAGAAATGATTAAATCTGTGAGTCGTCTAACAAATCTGTTATTGCTGTATTCTTGCCTCGTAAGACATTGATAAACCAATTGATGCAAAATGAGTGGATCCGATAGAGGAGTAGAGATAGTTGGAAATGGTTGGCAAGATTGTGCAAGTTGGCTCATAAGATGCGGTGCATTACGAGCTGACCACAAAGCCAATTGGCCTAATGCTACAGCAGTAGATTTAGCTTATATATTAAGAGATGGAGTACTCCTTTGTAATCTTTTAAATACCATTAAACCTTGCTGTATAGATAGTAAAGATGTCAATCAAAAGCCTCAGATGGCTCAGTTTTTGTGTTTGCGGAATATCAATGCATTCTTATCAGCTTGTACCAAGAGTTTTGGCATGTCAGAATCAGATCTATTTGAATCTTCAATGCTTTATGATCTTTCTAATTTTCATAAGGTGTTGTGTACGTTATCTGTGTTATCAAACACCACTTATTTCAAAAACAAGGGAATAGAGTGAGTAATACTTAATAACTAAAAATATATATTACAAATCACTTATTCAAGCTTATCTATATTACATTTGTTTTCAGGGGATTTCTTGTAAAAAGAGGTCGATCTCAAGAAGATATTTATAAAGATTTACAGAGTGCTGGAGTGGGGTAAGTTTCTTGTTTTGCATATGGTTAGAAGTGTTGATTTAAAGGACATCATTTCAAACATACTTAACATTTCGGAGATGATTAAAACTTCAATCAAAATTTTTTTTTTTATTTGTTGTCTCTTTTGATCTAATCAATCATGTCGCAATCTCATCACTCTATAATTAGTATTTTCTTAGTCTTTCAAAATATGGAAAAGAATATGTCCTTAAATCGCTCTCTTACTCTATTATAATAAACATAACATGAAGTGAAAGCAGTAGTAGGGTAATATAATTTCAATTTGTTTGATAACTTATATGCATTCAGCAATATGGCTCCAATGGTAGCATTCACAATAAAACCTAGGGCCATGGACCTAGGCGAATCAAAAATTTATCATGAGTTACTCTGCTTTTCACATACCACTCCTCGACACGACTGGTCCACTGGTTCAGAAGAGGAGGTATTTGTAATGATGAATTTTTCGGAATTCTTGTATACATGTTACATTAGTTTGAGTATTTTAGACGCAAGAGTTGTAAACAGTGTTATATAGATTTGAACAAAAATTACTGATTGATATTTTTTTTTTCGTAACGTTGTGCTGCTTAAACGATTTTTTCTTTGTTGTGTAAGAAAAGCAGAGCTTCTTTTTTTATTTTGATCAACGATTGCATTTACCCACTAAAAAAAGATTTACTAATAATTCAAATGAATTATTAAGAATCGTACACGTCTACGGATCTGTTGAATTTGAAAGAACCGACAATTTCACGAAGAAGATGCTCGCATGCCTATATAAAATAATTTAGCTTTATAAGCAAGCAAGCGAGAGCGTACGTCATGGCTTTACTGTCTTGCACTGTTATTTCGTGGCAATCCACACAAACTTGACCAAGTCATCCTTACAATCATATAAGCATATTCCACTTCCTTGTTTCGCGATATTCGCGCACGTGTATACATTAGCGAAGGAACGCTGCATGGCTGCTCTATGTTTATGTGCGAATTTGGCGTGGTCGCGCAGGCGAGAAGACGAGGGTCGACGCAGACGATCCAGGCGACGTGAAGGTGGTACACCGGATGAGGATGGACAATCGGCTGATAACGTGGCCAATGACCACGTCACCGAAGAAGATGGTTACGATGCATTTTGCAGCCAAGCCAGAAGTGAAGAGATCTACCATGACCTTTGTGCGCTGCATCTATCGCCTGCCGATCAGGTGCGCTTGTTCGTTGTATAATTGCGCTTCAAATTGGATTCCATCCATATTATTTTTCTAGCGCGAGAAGCTTTATTTATACTGCAGGTTCTTTGATTTGTTATGATGATTTTTGTAATTTATCGAGCGCGGATAGTTCTCAGAGCTCTTTGGACGTTATTCTGATATTGCATGAATCGATATCGTGATGCAGAAAGAGTGTAATAGAATTTTATTTAGAGTTAGATTTTTCATAATTTTCTTTTTTACAGGGGTGTCTACTTGACCTTACAATTATTGCAACTATAGTTATATAGTGAATTAGCCATTGTTTATAGAGTACAAAAAACTATTTAATTCATAGAAATATAAATATTCAGGTTTACTTTTGATGTATTTTATAGTAATTATATGAAACATAATTTGAAAGTCAATAATTGCTTTTCCGTGATGAATACTTCCATATTTGAAATGAAATTTATCCGTCTGTTCCAGAATATTCAATATTTATCTCACAAACGTCTCGCATAATCGCAGTAAAATTATTTTCAAGTAGACACTCAATCTGGCATAATAACAAACTAAATCACTGATCTGATTGATAGCATGGTGCAGCAGCAGCAGCAGCAGTAGTAGTAGCAGGTGGCGAGAAGCGCGACTACGTGGTGCAAGAACTCGTTGAGACAGAACGTAACTACGCTGAGGTGCTGAACAGTCTATTGAAACATTTTGCACGACCTCTGTCGGGCATAATCCATCCCGAGATATCGGCGCGAATCTTTTTCGGTATCAAAGATTTGGCGGAAATTCACGCTGGTTTTCACAGTCAATTACGAAAAGCTCGAGATGGTGCAGGTATTGCGCAAGTCTTCCTTGACTGGCGGGAGAAGTTCCTCATCTACGGTGACTATTGTGCCAATCTTACCACAGCTCAAGCCACGCTACACGATTTATGCGCTGCCGATCCTATATTTGATCAAGAAGTTATCGTGAGTTTTCCTTCGTACTCCTTATCCCCTTTGATGACTGTTTAAGGCAAGTACAAATCGAATTTGGTTTTCAGGAATGCCAACAATTAGCCAATAACGGAAAGTTCAAGCTTCGAGATATTCTCTCCGTTCCGATGCAAAGAGTGCTCAAGTATCATTTATTGTTAGATAAATTAGTCGAGGAGACGCCGCGTGAGTGGGTGGAAGATAGGCGAAAGCTCACTCAGGCGCGTGAAGTTATGGTCGATGTAGCGCAATATATTAACGAAGTCAAACGTGATTCCGATACGCTTGACATTATTAACAACATTCAGCATCTTATTGTGGATTGGGATCGTTCAGAGGATATTCAGTTGAGAGACTATGGAAGGCTTCTAAAAGATGGCGAACTCAAGGTAAATTATTCGATAACGATTGTCTATTTGAAATAAATTGCTCGTTAACTTTGTCGTTTTGGTTGCAGGTCAAAGCTCACGGAGACCAGCGAATAAAAGCTCGTTATGCCTTCGTTTTCGAACAAGTGGTTTTAGTTTGTAAGGTCGGCCGAGGCTATCAGTACTGTTATCGAGAAACAATAAGACTGGATGAATATCGTGTGGAAGATCATGCTTCGAGGCGCACCTTAGGCAGAGATTCACGATGGTCGTATCAATGGCTGCTTGTGCACAACAAAGCTTACAAAGCCTATACGTTATATGCGCGTACGGAGGATCAGAAACAGGTTTGGATCAAAGCTCTGCAGGATGCCATGGATAATATTTATCCGTCTGCCTGTCGCAACACCAATCATAAATTTAAGCTTACCACCTACGACAGCGCTCGTAGTTGCGATATCTGTGGGAAATTTCTTAAAGGACGAATCTTTCAAGTACGTATTGAAGAGCACGGTGACAAACTAACCGCAATATTTAAATTTCTAAAATTCTGTAGTAGTATAATGTTATGCAATGATGATTGTATAATTAATCAAGTGCACTAAAATAATCTTTGGATTTTCTAGGGCTACAGATGCGAAACCTGCTTACTATCAGTACACAAGCAATGTATTTCTTATTCCGGACGTTGTATGCCGATACCGCCTCCTTTGCCACCCCCTCCGCTGCCACCGCCACAGCCATTTGAGCGCGAGTTATCTACAAAATTATGGTACATGGGCGAGATGGGTCGAGAGATGGCTGCACAGAAGCTGGAACAGCGAGAGAATGGTACCTACATGGTACGAATCCGTCCAGCCACTGGGCAGCCACGGCTCAATCATGAAACGGACTACGCTTTAAGTTTAAAGTATGTAACGCTAGACATCTTTTTATATGATTTTAATGTTTTTCATTCGAGTTCTTATCAGCTTTGTTGTTATACAGAGCTGACGGCACAGTTAAACATATTAGGATATTCAAACGCGAAGTAGACGGAGCCGATTTGTATTACCTGAGCGAATCTCGTTTCTTCAAGAGTGTTATTGAGCTGGTGGAGTACTACGAGCGAGTGTCGTTAGCGGAGAACTTTGAAAAATTGGATCAGCGGCTTCTCTGGCCATATAGACGGATTCTAGCTAAAGCTCTATTCGACTACAATCCAGCCGAACGTAATCAATTAAGCCTGCGCAAAGGCTGTCGCGTAGTTATATTGAGTAAGGAAGGCGATGCCAAAGGATGGTGGAAGGGAAAGATCGCTGATCAAGTTGGTTTTTTCCCCAAAGAATACGTCGAGGAAGAATGATACAATAGTCGAGCGCCACCGACTTTATCGATACACATAGGTATTTAAATATATGGCTGATACTTAGCTATTTCGATAGGCTCGGAGACACCAGGTTATGAAATCTTTTATTTTTGTACAATTGTTGTACACATTGAATTAAATTTTTTTCCCAAAGTTATCAACTATTAAGAAAAAATGATAAGAAAGGCTATATTTCAAAAATAAATGAAGGGAAAAATATATATTCGCAATATGCATGTAAAATAAGTAATTTTATGTTATTAAAATCCGCTTATTATACTCACAAGTGATGTCAATTGATTGAAAAATAAAACTTGTTTGATTTACTTTCATTCTATTATAAAGTTAACTATTTGATTGTTAATTGTGTAGTTATTGACTATATTATTAATTAGTCATTAATTAATAGTTATTAGCTAACTAATAAAATAATGTATATAAAATTGATAAACAATTTTATGTAACTACTTGATACAGTTAACTTCATCACATTAGGTTGAAAATAAATCAAGTTTTATTTTATCCATCAATTAACATGTAATTTATATGTAATTGATTATATTTAAAAAATATATAATACTTTTGTGTCAATACTGTTAATGCAAAAGAAATATCGTCTGCAATTTTTTTTGCAGTTTTAATTTGCCGCAATTATAGATTTATTGCCTTTGATTGATAATAAATGTAATACTTTACTTAGGCGGTTCATTGTCAGAAAGTACAAATAATGCCGAATGTTTAGGAAAAAAAACCATCAAAATCGATTGCAATTTCTATAAGGATTTTAAAAAAAGAAGTCCGAAATATCCCACTGTATGTCGAACCGTAGGCGTGCCTAAACAGCCTCTTAATTAATGCTGTCTGATATGTCGGGCACTTGAATTTTTTGATTGATTTCTATAGAAAAAACCCTCCGGAGTCCATTGAAGCAAGAATTTTAAAAGCTACTACTTTTAGGGTAATACGCAATTGTTAAAAATAAAAGTTAATATCTTTAAAAAAAAAAAACAATATTTTTTGTTGTAATTATGTAGAATGTTTAAGATGTTAAACGTATTTAAAAAAAATATTAACTTGGATGTCTTAATTAGTTTTTGAAATGTAACCTTTCGAAAAATTGTTATCATTCATCCTTAATAGTTAATGACTTTTTATATAATTAATATTTCAAGATAAAAATGTAGAAAAAAATTTTCTTCAATGTGTACAACAATTGTATTAATTCTGGAAGAAAATCTGTGTCCTAGTGTTTCTAGGCCCATCGAAATAGCTAAGAATTAGCCATATATAGCTGCTGGGATATGCTGCTTCTCAAAATTAATGCGTAGACATATTTAGACGAGTGAAAAGTAACGAGTATAGAAGGTAATGTGCTCGAATGGATACATAATAAATCTAAATAAAAAGAAGCCAGTCAAATGTCGGAATCAGTGTTTCTTTGAATTGTTTATGTCTTCCAAATCAGTCAATGTGTGTAGTCTCATTATATTTATAAAAAGAAAAATGTTTCACCAATTTTTTTGGCTAAACATTGTTTGGCTTGAAGGATATTGCTGTTTATACAAATGCGTATGGTTTCTGAAAAACTTCATCTACATGTTAAATTTTGATAAATCTTAGATTTTTAAACTTACAACATGAAAAAACTTTAATATATTTGTTATAGCATGATATATTTTTAAGAATTTTCTGTGTTTAAAAGTGAATTTTGGAATATTCAAAAAATTTATTGACAAATTCACTTGACAGATCTACCAACTATGTATCTAATTAATCATTCAAACTATAGAAGACTATATACAATGTCACAGAGAATATGTGTTTAAGGAATCTAAGTTTTTACAAAAAAAAAAAAGAAATATAGTTGATGTAAAATCATTATTCTATCCAAATTTTGATGTTTCACTCTAATTCCATTGATAGAAATTTGGTGGAGATTGAAAGATTATGTACGTAAGAACTGAGTAAGATGGATAAATTTTCATTTTAGGAATGCCCATATTTTAATAGAATACAAGTGCAAATTAGTTATATATATGTATATGTCTTTTATTAGATATATACGAGCATTTTAATGAATACATCGAGATTTTTATTGTTAGGTAAAGAGAAAGTTTAATATTTTTAAATTAAAAAAAATGTTCCCCAATTGTGCCAATTAAAGACTTAAAAATCTATTTAAAACTATTTGTTCTTTCTTTTATTTTCCTTTGTCTCATTGTTGCTTCAAAAATGTACGTATGTATACATGCATAATTATGTATTCCTAGCATATAATTGTGAATCATTTACTCAAGGTTCCACATTTACATAAAAGTCTTTATTATGTTTGTTTGAAAATCTATTTAATGGAATTTTTCTAGCTCGAGTATTCTTCTTTTTTTATAACTGAGTACTCACTTTTGAACTTGTCTCCTTTTCAGTTGCAAATATATAAAACTTAATGAATAAACATATGTCGATAAGTAGGTGAATTAATTTGTTGGCCTACTTGATACGCACATAGTCTTGATGCAAACGGCTGCAGACGTGAATAGCTAATATTGAATTAGCCAGTAAACATATACCTATAGCGTGGCGTCGCTGGTCGCAGTGTTGAAAAGTGTTTGCGTGGTGCATATACTGTGCAGCTATAAGAAAACTCGTTAATTTACCTTTAAACAATGGCTTCAGCAGAACCAAATGCCACGAAATTATTTACCCGGGCTCAAGTTGCAGAACGCAGTGATTCTAAAGAAACATGGCTAATTATTCACAACAGTGTTTATGATGTGACAAATTTTCTCAATGAGGTATGTCTTACAATTATCACCTGTTACTATAACCTATATTTTTGTTCTCGAATCTGTGTTATTTCTTTAGGTAATGTGTGACATTTTCATTGATTTTTATTGTTTTAAATGTATTCTAGCATCCTGGTGGTGAGGAAGTACTGTTGGAACAGTCTGGTCGAGATGGCACAGAGCCATTTGAAGATGTTGGGCATTCTAGTGATGCTAGGAAAATGATGGAACCTTATAAAGTTGGAGAATTAGTCGAAGTCGGCATTTATATAAATTACTCGTTATTTACGAGACGCTTATACTGATCATTTGTGTAATCACTTTAGGAGGAGAGAACATCTGCAAATGACCAAAAATCCAAAGGTCCCACTGGTAATGCTGACGATGACTCCAGGTATGTATCCCAAAAGCTTTGTTTTGCTAAACTATAGATTAAAATGACTAATTTATTTCTGTACTTCTTTTTTACTAATAATCTTGGCAGTTAAAAAATGTGTGCTTTATCTGCATCAATCAGCAATTCAATTATATTAATTACTTAATTAATTTTTATATGCACATCAATAGCTATAATCATATAAAAATATTTTACAAACTACAATTGCCAATCAGAGATAATTTTATCTTATATTTTAATATTAATAAGATAATTTGTACTACCATAAAATTAGCTTTAATTTGAATTCAATTTGATAATAAAAAGTAATGATTTTACTATATTCATATATATTTATATATCAATTCATTATACACTTTGCAAATGTATGCTGTCATAAATCGCTCCTTAACTTCTTCTCACTCTGTCTATATTGCACAGCTTTTGTGAAGCACTGTTTTATTTATTTGATTTAGATAGATTTTGAGTACAGTTGCAATGTGTGTAATTATGATAGTTGCTGCTTGGTGATGTGACTATTGAAAATTACAGCAGCTCCTGGAGATCCTGGGTGATTCCAATTGTATTGGGCGTACTAGCTACACTTGTCTACCGTTATTTCATCAACACCCACTAATAAGAAGAGTTATTATGTGGCATTTTTTTTTAATTTGAAGCATTGATCGTTCTATGTAACAGTACTGTTATAAGATATAAATGGGGATATTTGTATGTTGGATAGTTATTTGTACTGGATGGAAGTGTATAATTGTTGTTTCTGAACCAATATTATTGAAAGGCAAACACAATACAAAATGCCTAATCAAACGTATAATTACTTAAATGTAAATCTATGATTAGCAGAGTGAGTTGACTCATAAATGCATTTAGGTGAACATAATTTTAAATAGCTATTAAGAAAATATTGTGGATAAAATAATGTTATTGTAAATTTTTGTATTTTAGTGAAATAGCTCTTAAATATGCATTTTGTAATTTCATTTGTATTATTTTCATAATTACTGTTATACATTGAAAAATTTCTATAAATTTGAGTTGAGCAGGTATATTTTCCGATATGAATAATAAATTGAAGTTAAAAAAAGTGAAACTTTATTTTTATATTTCAATTAAGCATTGCTCTAGTTGTTAATATTCGCACTCTAATTTTACCTTGTTAATTATAAATTAGAACAATTAGCTTCATAAATTGAAAAGCTATTGCAATTACTCACTAAATTGACACAAGATTGACAAATTGGCGGTCGAGCGAGAACTCAAAAACATGCGTACATGATCGTCTTGTGTTCTTTAATTTTTGCGGTATAAATTCGTGTAAGGAGTAGTTCTTCGTGCGTAATTAAAGCAATCAAGCCCATAAAAGCGCGTCTTTGACAACGTGCTATATGGATCAATTGAGCTGCTTTAAAATCTCATAAAAGATCTTCGGTTGACGAATAAAGGAGCGATAAATTTAAGATCAGCGTGACATCCGACCGAGCGTTTGTCGTTTTGTCGTACGGCTGTACTTACAAAATTTTTGGCATCATCGGCTTTTCATTCATTGTATTTCTATATCTTATATTTCGCTTGTTTATTTTTGATTTAGCGATCTCAATTAATCAAAGTAAATTATCTTAATTGATTAATTTTTTTGTGTCGTAATAGGATTTTAAACTTTCATCAACTTTTTTATCAAAGCATTAAGTTTAATAAGGCATTAGGTTGTCAATATTATTTTATTGAACTTTTGCATATTACATGGTAGAAATAGGATATATTACGAAGCTTGGAATTGATTGCGGAAACAATGGCAATACGTAATATCTCAGCAATGGGAATTTGGTCTGAATGCACGTAACAATTTTTGACTGATTGTCGTAATCGTAGATTGTGTGCACTCGCATACAGAGATTGTTTGGCGCCTGGAAAAACACTGGAAACCGAGAAAAAACTTGTATTTCTTACTTTGTCTGGTGGTGATGTGAGAAGTGTTATTTTTGTCGAGCACAGGGCATCTGTGCTTCTAATTTTAAAAAGGTAAGGCTGGGAGAAGCTGTGTGAAAGTCACTCGAGAGAAAGAGAGAGAGAGAGAGAGAGAGAGAGAGAGAGAACCTCGGTGAGCGTGTCTTTCTTCTTTAAATCGCATCGAAAATAGCATACTTAATAGTGGACGAAGAGTGCGTCGCGACGATCGAAGATTAATCGTAAAGCTGCGTAAGCCGATCCGTTGGGCGGGCGAAAGCTAACGGGGAGTCGGCTCGCGCTGGTCGCACACGAGACGAACCGTTTAACGAGTAGCACGAGCTCTATTCTCATAAATCACGTGAAAAATGTTCATCCTCGAATCGCGTAACATCGTCACATGCACCGTCGACGTTCACGATAACGAACATATTCGTTCGATGCGAGCGCGACGCGCAAGCGCGAACAAACAGTCGAGTTCGAAAGCAAAAAAAACGTATAGCACGCGACCAGCGACAATCATTTCCGCAAACGTCTTTTGCTTGACATTCTCTAATGCCACGATAAACTGTCGGAGAGTTAAGTGGTCTAGTCTATTCGTGCTACGGCCGCCGTCGCGGTCAATTAACATTGACACGACTCGTGAGGCCACTACAAGCATACAAACAGCGTCGTCGCCGGCGCACTGTCGCGACTACATTGCTCGAGCATAGCCATGCAGACGCGCGCCCCTTCGATCGAGAATACAGATTAGGCGGATATGATGGCTTTTAGCAAGGAGGCTGGACTCTCGGCTCTCGCAGCAAATCAATCAAACCATAAAACCAATTTATTCATTGGCTTTCGTTCATCAATTGGCTTCAGTTTCGCTCACGGGATGACCCATATAAATTTGACCCAGCGCGAGTTTGCCGCTTATACGACAATCATAAGCGTTTGCCGCATGCGAATAACTGCGCAAACGCGCCGAGACAGTGGTTTCACATCGTGAGAGATTATGCCGGCGCACCGGCCAAGATTTCTCTTCCACGCAACGGAGTTACTGGAGCGGAGGTTGCAGTTGTTTCCGCCTCGAATAACAATAGTCTTTCGACGAGGGGGGCCTTGCTCATCTGGAAAAATGCCGTAGTCATTCGCGAGAGAACGGTGTCCGTTCGTAGAACGACGCGGACTCCAACTCGCATCGCGGAAAAGCCCTCCGAAAGCTAGCTCGTGGATCGTGGCACCTCGGCAGTCCCGGCACGCTCGTGCACTAAGCCGAGCAGCCAAACCGCAACCGGCCGCTCGGCACAGTCTCGCGCTTCCAGCCGCGCGACCGGGCAAAGGGGGGAATCGCGCGAGCGCCGGGCGCCGGGCGCCGGGCGCCGGGCGCGAGCTCGGCGGCGTCGGCGCTGCGGCGTGTCGCGAGTCGCCGGAGTCGCGACTCGCGCGCACGACCAAGAGCCCCGAGAGGGCGCCAACGACCCCCTCTCTTCGGTCTGCGGCTAGTCGGGACGGGAGTTGGGACGCGAACGAGGCGACCGAGGCGGCCGACGCGACCTACGCGACCGACGACGCGAGGCGGGCAGTGCCGAGTGCGCCAGTGCCGTCGAGTCGAGAGCAGCGCAAGCACACTCGGCCATCGCGCGCGGCAAAGCACAGCAGAGCAGACGGACGCGGAGAGTAGCGTCCGAGTCGGAAGCGACAGAGCACGTGCTGGACACGCACTCGCAGCCAAGCAGCAGCCGAACAGCGAGGAAAGAAGCAGCAGTGCTCGTTGAAGACAAGTCGTCAAGGTGTCATGAGAGGCAGTTTCACGACGATCCGCCCTTATCGTCGGCCCCTTCAGCAGTCATGCATGTCGCGCCCCTCAAACGAGGTAAGTGGCTCGGCCGTGCCTCTGCCAAGTTCATTATCAGAGAGCCGACTTGGCCGTCGCCGAGCGCTCCCGGAAGCGCAGGCTGCTCTCTGTTTTGGCCTCTTCTCGCGGACGGCGCACCGTGCGGCTTCCGTGCGTGCGCCCGAGCTGCGTACGGCTGCACGGCCAGGCCCCACCCACGCGAGAGCAGAGCCTGCGCGTCTCCGAATTTTCACGTGCTCGCATGGCGGCCGGTCCGCTCGCTCGCCGACGGCGAGAGAGGAGGGCGCGCGACGACTGCCAGCTTGGCTGCGGGCCGCGCTCCGGCTGATTGATCGGCTTTCGGGAGGCGCGCAGCCGCGACGCAACTTGGCGTCCGCACGCCGTCGAGCGGCACGGCCTTCGGGTTCGATCGGACACAGGAGAGCCGGCGAGGCGCAGTTGGCCGCAGCCGCGGGGCCAAAGGCCACAGGCGCGAGTCGCGAGTCGCGCGACCTTGGCCACTGGGCGCTCCTCTGGGCCGCTGTTCGATCGTCGGCGCGCGCAAGCTCTCTCGCGCACACGGCCTGGTCGCGGGCACGTACTACTACTATCCGTCTCGCGCCGCCAGCGCCACCGAGGGGCTCGGCCCGCGCCTGCGGGTCGATCCAGGATTAACCGCAGTCCGATGCTGCTCCCTGTATTCGCTTACATCGTGCTTCGTCGTTGCACGTCGGTCAGTCGGCGCCTCGTCGGGCTGCGCGCACGTATATAGCCAACAAGCCGCTGAAAGTTGATAGCGCTAACTGATCGCATTGACGCGGCCGAACGAGCGACACGCAATGGTGCAGGTTGGCCGGCAATAAATATATATGGTATTCACGCGTCGTCCTGATCTCCCGCGACTGCGCCGTTTTGATTGCGGCCCAGTATTTATAGAATATGGAACGCGCGCGCGCTTTCCGAGTCTCAGGCTTATTGGTTCGCGCGCAAAGTGTAAAAGTGGCTAGTGGATGCCGCGCAGCTTTTTTGCCTTTTCGCACGGTTCGCCGAGCGCCGGTGACGCGCGTGTTTTCTTTAGCGCTGCTCGCGCCAAGCCATTCCGACGACTCGACAGCCCGACTGCTTCGCGTTGGCTATTTTTTACGAATAGCCGTAGAGCTGATCAGCGCATAGTCTCTACGCATCTGACGCAATGTAGCGTTCGGATTTCGACGCTGCCAATATTTCGATCGCTCGGAAATCAAATAAATCAATCAATGGCTCGCTCGTCATGACTTTCAATAATTTCCAATGGAAACATTTATTTTCTTTCCTAAGCACGCTTCCTATAATCAGCTATATGTAGCTACATGCTCTAAAGGTCTAAAAGTCAAGTCTGTGTCTCAAGTCTGTGTCAGACGGGCGCGCAATCGATGGGTATAGCTTCTTTTACAGCAGCGTGACGTGGCTTCATCAGCTACACTCGTCCAACTTTGTATGCAGCAAATGCCGATTAGCGAACCCGAACTACTGGGAATGCCACGCTCGTTCCCTCAAAAATAGAACCGCATCATTTCCGATTCGAGCAATTAAAGAGAGAGAGAGAGAGAAAGAGAGAGCGCGCGCCCGGTGCGTAATTATTTCTATAGCCGTAGGGGTCACTTGGCATACGCGATGAAATTGCACCTACCCAAAGCTTTGTCTTCCAATTTTAATTGACCTTTTCTTTTACGCTTGACTAATTCTTCGTTTGCCTTATTCGCTGACAAACGCGCGCTTGAATAATCGAGCGACTTGAAATATTCATAAATTATTTGATGAGGTTATTCAAGCTTATTCAAGTAGATCGGTACAGAGATGATCGCAAGGAAAATGAATGAAAGAAATGCGAACGGTGTTGCAGCCGTCCCACACCATGGTACACAACCCGGCCCCGAAAGCCCGCAAGTTCCGGCGCAGCAGCAAAAGAATGCGAATCCGAGTCTACGAATGCGCAACAACTGCTGGTCCAAGCCCGAAGAAGGCAACCTACAGTCAGCAGAACAGCAGCAGCAGCAACAGCAATTGCCGCAGCTGGCGACTGATATGGGGAACGACGAAGGCGGAGGTGGAGGGAGCCGAGGGTTGGCGGGGCAGGACCCAGAGAAGGACGACCCTGTTAACCTCAAGAGACGGGTGGGACTCGTCAGTGGGGTGGCTCTAATCGTTGGCACCATGATTGGCTCAGGAATTTTCGTTTCACCGACCAGTCTCTTGGTGAGTTTCACTTGTTTGCCCCTAAACCTTGCTCGCCTTTTCGTTGTTCCGCACATTCCGGATAAGTCTGCTGCGCCACGAGCTGCTTCGTACACACAACTGTTTGTTTTCCACGTGCTTTTAATATCCACAATATAAGCTCTCTTGAAAAGTGAGAATGTCAATTTGCATGCTAAAACCCGCTTAAGCCGCTTCAACTGGGTCGCCAAGGCTTTTTAATCTGTCGCGGGACGCACATATATGTACCGATATACAGAGCCGCGCAGACAACAACCCAGAGGTAAATAACACGTGTAAATAGAGCAGAAATCCTATCAACGAGCTGAAACAAGCTCTGTACGCCTTATTGCGTAAAGGCTCGTCTGTTCTATTTGAAAAATGGACTATCTTGACATTCTCTTCTTTCTGCTACGAAACATTGGATAATAACATTTTATTATTTTATTATTTTCCTGATGATCGAAAAAAGTGAGAAGGTATGTTTCAATTGACAATTGATATAACAGAATTGTCACTGGTAGTGGTGATGCAAGGGTGATTGGTCCTTCGATAAGGTTTCGGTCTAATAAAACAAGCTTAGAAATCGATGCTGATTTTAAATTTGAACGAAATATTCTTTGGTTTGCATGTAAGATTAGAATTAGATTCGAATTCCTGAACTTGAAATGATAAGAAGAAACAACTGAAACTTGTATGATGCAGCAAAACATTAAGAAAAGTTAACAAGGTTGATTTGCTTGATGTTGACTTTCGTAACTTGAAGGGCCTGACGTTACATTACCAAGTGCCCATACAATCGCGTAGGTTGAACATATCGACTTCATATCAGCTTCATTCTGCAAGGTCATTAAAGCATAACCTTCACTTAGTCAGGCACACACGTCGCTTGCTTATTTACGCTTTACACATTAGAGTGAAAGTCGAACGGAGATGAGGAATTGACTGCAAGCTGGGCGTTGCGAATCAACAGATAAGAACCGGCAGCGTCGGCATGAGTTTCGTCGTGTGGACAGGCTGCGGCCTGTTGAGCTTGTGCGGGGCGTTGGCGTACGCGGAGCTCGGCACCATGAACACGAGCAGCGGCGCTGAGTACGCCTACTTCATGGACGCGTTTGGGGCCTGGCCAGCCTTCCTGTTCTCGTGGGTGTCGACTCTGGTACTGAAGCCATCTCAGATGGCGATAATCTGCTTGTCGTTCGCCCAGTACGCTGTGGAGGCATTCGCCGCCGAATGCACGCCACCGAGTGAGGTGGTCAAGCTCGTTGCCCTCCTCACAATCGTCCTCATCCTTCTCGTCAATTGCTACAGCGTGAATCTTGCCACTGGAGTGCAGAATGCTTTCACCGCTGGCAAACTCATCGCCATTCTGGTGATCGTCGCCGGCGGCAGTTACAAGCTCGTGCAGGGCAACACCCAGCATTTGCACAACGCGTTCGATAGCTTTGAGGACAAGACAGGCGGTGAAAACGCAGTGAAGAGACAGATATTCAATGTCGGTCGCTTGGCTACAGCTTTTTACACTGGGCTCTGGGCTTACGACGGATGGAACAATTTGAATTACGTCACTGAAGAAATCAAAGATCCATCCAAGAACTTGCCAAGGTCCATTATGATCGGCATACCTCTTGTTACGCTTTGCTACGCGCTGATCAACGTTTCCTATTTGGCGGTCATGTCGCCGCTGGAAATGATCGAGAGCGAGGCCGTAGCTGTGGTGAGTGATAACTTCATTTGCATTTTACTTATTGGTAGGTATATCTTTTCGTCTTTTTTATTCCTGTGTAATGATGTTTTTGTTTATCCGTTTGATTATTCAACTATTTTACTTTCATATAGTACATATGTCGTTGAGCAATTTTTTCATAAATCCCATAATTTTCTTTCAATAAAAGCGTTGCCTTTGATACTTTCGAAATATTATTATGTTATCAAAGCTCAAGCTATTTCAATGCTACCGTTGAATTTCATTATTGTTTTCTTTCATTTCTTCTATGCAATATTTTCAAAGAAGATTATTCGAAAAATCGTATTCAGATAGTTTGAGCTTGCCCCCAAAAACTAAGCGATAGTCTTTTCTGCGAGTAGATGCCAATGTGATCGAACGATACTTGGCTACGCACCTATCGTTTTCTCATTAAACTGATGGAAATGGTAGATAGCAAGTAAGTCTTAATTAACTGTAATGTGAAGTCGTAATAAAAAAACACCATACTCTTTTTCCTCTCTCTCTCTCTCTCTTTCTCTCTCTCTCTCTCTCTCTCTCTCTCTCTCTCTCTCTCTCTCTCTCTCTCTTTCTTTCTCTCTCTCCTCTCTATCTTTCCTTCTCTCGAATTTATCTCTCATTGTCTCTGCTTTCATCGCGAATGAATAATTAAACGTAACTGTTTACACGTTTAGAAATGTATAGAAAGGAAAGACATTGAGTTCTGCAACACCAAACGCAGCTTTTTCTCGTCATTTGAAATTTGAGTTAGTCAACAAGAGGGTCATTTTGATACCCTTACACGAGACTTCTTATCTCTCTTTAGTACTGCTTACTATCGCAAGCTTTTTATCTGAATCCAACAGCGCGTGATTTGATTCGCGCCTAATTTTTATTCATTAGTCTTCAAGATGTTGTTTATAGCGAATGAGAGCGCGCGTCAAGCTTGATTTTTAAATAATGTAGTTGAAGCTTGTCAGAAAGGTAAAAATGGTAGCCTTTAGTCAAGCGAATCGCTAAACGTCTCTTGAAAATCTAGTACAGATGCGCATCTTGCAAAGAGAAGGAGTATAAAGAAAATGTAGAAAAAAAGAACTGCAAGAGTTTTGCAGCTTCGGCAAACTGGTCTCTTATCGATCATTTGTTCCACAGTCATTCGGCAACCGAATCCTCGGCGTAATGGCCTGGTTGATGCCATTGTCCGTGGCAGTGAGTACCTTTGGTTCGGCAAACGGCACTCTATTCGCGGCTGGTCGACTCTGTTTCGCAGCTTCGCGCGAGGGCCATCTAATGGACTGCTTGAGCTACGTGCACGTGCGTCGTTTTACACCAGCACCAGGACTGATTTTCCACTCGCTCGTCGCAAGCACAATGGTGTTATCAGGCAGCATCGACTCGCTCATCGACTTCTTCAGCTTCACGGCGTGGATTTTTTACGGCGGGGCCATGCTAGCTTTACTGGTGATGAGACGTACAAGACCAAATCATCCGAGACCTTACCGGTGTCCATTGGTTATTCCGGTGCTGGTACTACTGATATCGATCTACTTGATCGTGGCGCCAATTATCGACAAGCCGCAGATCGAGTATCTTTACGCGGCTGGCTTTATCGCCGCTGGTATGCTGTTCTACCTTCCATTCGTCAAGTACGGATACGTTCCGAAATTCATGGGTGAGTAGTGTCGTGTTGTTTGGATGTTTGCATCTGTGATTGACTCTCGCTCTATCAACCGTTTCGGGATGGCAAGTTGCTTCTGAACGAATTACTCTTGCTTGTTTACAGAAGGAGTCAATGCTTTTCTGCAAATGCTACTCGAGGTAGCCCCAACCGCTGCAGCTATGGATTGATGAACAATAATCAAATGGCGTACAACGATATGAATACTACCAAACACATCAAGTTATTAACTGTCGAGAATCCACGTCTGTATGTCGCTCTTATGTCGAAGACACACAAGCTTTGGAAATAATTTTACAGCGATTATGCTCAAGTGAAATGAAAAAAGAAACGAAGTATACATATATATATATATATATATATGTGTATATATATATATATTACATATACACTATATATACAAATACACACATACGTATATTCATGCTCGTCGTCGAGGCTGGAAGCGCCAAAAAGAAAATAATATTTAAAAATATGTTAGAACGACTAGAGACAGGAATTGCAGATTTGACAGAGGTATTATTTTATTACTTGTTGTTGTTTATTTGTTAATGAAAATACAATAATATGCGAAAAAATATGTAAAAAAATGATTGCCTGTAAAGAGAGTTTATTGTTCTGATGGGAAATAAACAATTTTATGCAAAAAAAAACCTATATCTATTTATTAGACCAGATGTAAAAATCAATGACGTTCTTATTTATAGATCGAAACTTAATATTAATGCTTTAGCTAATAGATAGGTATTATATTTACAACGGAATTTGAAAGAGTATGCAATGTTTTATTGGCAAAAACTCTACTTATTGTATTATAGTGTGAATCTAGCAAGCCTTGTATACCGACTGATGTGTTTTCGTTATCTTATATTCCATTATTGTCAAGTTATCGTTAATGTAATTAATTAATATCGAAATGAAATTTCAAAGTTGAAAAGTTGGTGTGTTCATCGATAAAATAGGAATTGGCAAGTGCATGCACTTCGGTAACTTATTATTGCTTCACTTGTTTGTACTTGCAAAAATAGCTAAACGATGGCGCAAGGCTACGGTTTCACACGCCGTGCAAAATAACAACAATCTATTTTTCGCTTAAAGTGTACTTAAAATATGACAGCTGTCACTTTCAATCTTGTATCTCAATTGTCAAGTATAAGCAGCGCCTAACGAGGTAAGTCGTGGACATACTTTTAATTGAAGTTTCATGAAGCTCGTTTTTCGCGCTTCTACGAGCGGGAACTCCGATTGGCTATTTACAGCGCGGTCACCAGCAGAATATATTCCTCTCTAACCTAACCTCAAATTAATAGCGCCGCAGGAGCGCTGCTGTTCATTAACTCAGTTGCGTTGCTGCAGTCCAATACGGAAGTAGTGCAGTCCAACGACACCCACGAGTATCAGTAATAATAATTTCGAGAAATCCAAAGAGATTACTTGCTGTCATCCTGTCTGTTGTCAGGCAGAGATTGTTGATTAATTTCGAACAAGGAATTATTAGCGAACGATGTCCTTTTGCATAAGAAGCATCGCGAACGGCAGCAAATATGTACCCACTATCGTGGCTAGTGCCCAGGGATGCAATTCTGCAAGACGGTTCAGCAGCCGGCAACTGCCGAGACACGTGAAACCCGTAACATCAACGTTTCTTAACGAGGTAGGATTTCTTTTAATTTACTGATTAAATTTTATTTTTAACGTTGCCATCGACTTTTTTATGTACCCTAACGTCACTAAGTTGTCAGTTTTAATTAAAATCTCCCTACATTTCTTTACACTAGTGTCATTTCTCTTACATAATTTAAATTACGATTATTATAATAATATTTGAAGTTATCTGTCGTAGCACTTTTATTTGATATTTTTCGTCTTGACTTGTTATTGATAAAGTATAATACAATTGACAATAAAATATATTGATGTTTCAGTTTATGGGTCCTAATGCATCGCTCAGCTTACCTCTTGATGCTAAGGAATATTGCAAGTTATTGGATTCATCTAAAGAGTCAAATATTAACCATCCTCAATATACTTATATTTATGTTAATCGATGGTTGAATGATTCAAATACTATTAATAATAATGATATTGAATCATACGCAATTTCAAGTAAAAAAGATTTAGAGTTTTATGGTCAAGAAATCAATCATGTTTCATTCATTCATTCTGGAATAGATCAAACAGTATTATCTTATAATATGAATTCAGTGTTACCACACGAGGACAATATTTCTGTGACATATCAAGAACCAAATCGGAAGCCTCAAGATCAAACATATTTGCTCAATATGAGTGCAGTTACCAAAGAAAAGCCCAAACTTTCAACTTTACCAAAGGCTCCAGCAATGCTTGAAGAAAAGAATGTGGATTCACAAGATAAAAGAGCAACTCTCCACAAGAAACCATCAGAGGATGATCTTAAGTTTATTTATGATACATTGAGTGTTGATGTAAGTAGAAAATGGTTTTATAAAAGTATGATTACTCAACTTTTAGTCAAGTGATAATCTAGGTTTTTGTATGTTACAGCTACCAAAATTTTTTATAAAATCTCTCAACTACAAAATATACTCTTCTAATATTGAATTTGTGAATAACATCAGGGGAACAAGAACAAAGTTAGTTTAATGCTAATTGCTTGAAATCCATCATCCTTAAGTTTTATTGACAAATTTATATATTTTTAGAACTGCATATGAATACGTAAAACAAATGGCATTTTTAAGGATAATAGGCCATCTGAAATTTGCCTATGTAAAATTAGAACTTCTCAAAATGACTATGCACACATCAGATAATACAATCAGGGTTCGTTGGCGCATAATTGGGATAACTGGATTCAAGGTGTTGCTGCAATTCTGGAAATTCAAAGTATGGAAGATAAGATCGGAAGCGACAAGAGAAAATGAAATGTAAGTATTTCATTTTTGAAAAAATTAAGAGCCCATATTTGACAACATGTTATTTTAGTTGGTATGATGGATATTCTACATTTTACATTGGTGAAGATGGTTTGATATATAAACACGTAGCGGACAAAATGATGCCTGACCAAGATGAAGATATAAAGCCAAAATCTGGTCTTCAATCGAAATTAGCTTCTCAGCTTGGCGCAAAAATTGTGTAATTGAATTTAACTGCTTCTGCGCCTGTGTATATCGAGTCATCGAAGGAGTGGTAAACGTTTTCAACGTTGTGAATAGCATTTATGTGAGATTGTTCAGTTTTGTATAAATTGAAAACTTTACAACCTGCTTATCATGTTTTAAATTTATTATCAATCTTGAAATTGATTTTTTTTCATGTAAATTAATTTATAAAAATGTGAGAAAGATAGTATGTATTAGCACTAAGAACAATCGTTAATATTAATCGAATACCGTTTGTGTTTTATTGAAAATAACAGTTGCTATGATTAATATTTTCATTTTCAATTTTATTAGTATTAGAGCTTTTTCCTGATCTATAAGTAACTGTTAGCTGTAAATAATGTGTGAAAACATTGTTAAATAGTCAAATACATTTTTAAAAAGCAATTTCTTGGGAGCAGCGTATTTTTCATTCATTCTCGGATATTATAATGTTAATTTTTGAATATAATTGAAATTAAATTGTAACCCTATTTCTAAGGATAAATCTTTATTCATAAAACTTGAAAATGTACAACAGTATATTTTAAATTTCATATTTACATGAAATTGTATAGCAGTGCTATGACGTATATTTTTTACAACATGATTAATAATTAATAGTTTTCAATAATATACATATACATTCAAAAATATTCTATAAATCTTTACAACGAATTGCTTACAAAAAGCCGCAATCGATTGACAATATTATACCTACGGCATTAAAGTAAGATTTAATACCCTCAATGAAACGATTAGCAATTAAAGTATAACAATGAATTTTGCAATAAATAAACAGCTATGTCAATCTATCTAATGAAAAATATAAAAAAACACGTGACCTATGATACATAGTTTCATTATAAGTAGCCATGTTTTCAATCTTCACTCTGTTTAGATTGCTTAGTATAAATTTTGCCCTTATTGATCTCCATAGCAAGTTTGTAACCGAGTTCAGGTCGTCGATCTCGACCTTCAACCATTGCTTTGACCTGACCCGAAGTAACAATAACCCCGTGACTACCGATGACATTTGCCTTTGTCTTCTCGATATCAACTAAATCAACTCCTCGACATGCGTCGTCAATCAGAATTGTACGATATCCGCTTGCCAAAGCATCGATTGCCGTGGCACCAACACAAACATCATAGGCAACACCGCAGACGTAAATATCGGTAACACCTCGCTCTTGCAGTTGCGACGACAATGACGTTTCCGACAGCTTCTTGTTGTCCCAGAATACCGAATACGAATCCACCTCGGGATTCGTACCTTTGTACACCTTCACGCCGTGTTCGACAATTTTCAGATCTCTATGTAACTCTGCACCCCAAGAGTCTTGCACGCAGTGACGTGGCCACAGGCGTTGTTTTAATATAGGTGGCCCTTTGAAGGTGACTGTATCGTATACTCGCGCCTCCTCTTTCGTTATGCCGCTCGACTCGTCTAGCTCTCTGAAAACCAATAAATTTTTGGGTTCTTTTGTTGCGAGTGACATTGAAAGTTTGTTTTATCGGATTTTTGGCTCGCGGTTATTTTCTGCGCACATGCAAAATTTGGCAAAGTATGTCTTGTCGGACCTGACCCGTATCTACTTACACATAGATCCATGAAACACGCTAACTTCTATCGACTTTTCTCTAAGTTTCTGTATGCTATCTGTTTGAAATTTTACGTTTATGATGATTGTAACGAAGAAATAAACGTCTCCCCAAGTATTTTTTCGCATTCTTTCAATGTGTACGAAGATTTACAGTTTTCCTAAATTTCCCGCATCGTTGAAGGCGAACATAGCATGCTATACCCACCTCAAATTTAAATTATCAATGAAGGACACATGATCGTCAGGGTGCCAGTCGAGCGAATAGAAAACATTATCAAACGGGACCGAATCGAGAAGTTTGTTAATGGGCTCAATGACTTCCGAGCCGTCGTGGCGTGCCGCGCACTTTTTGATGTTGAGCGAGCCGGAAATAAAATCGTTCTGCACATCCACCACCAGGAAGGCACTTTTAGGTCTCGTGCATACTTTTATCCATCGATTCCAGCACATCTAACATTGAAAAGGAATAAAATGAATAATCATGCGAGTGAATGTGGTTTCGGCCGACCAAAGTCGGATATTTCTACTGAAAGTTGCATCCAATTTGAAATGATTTGCTAGCGTTATGCTTCCGTGCTAAGCGTTCATTTCGCGCACGCCGAACACTTTTGAGGCAATTATTTAAAAATCGATAAGTTACATCGACGTTCGAGCCTCTATGGTACGCTGACGTATTATACATATACCCAAGTTGTATGATATATCGCGCTAGCCAAATCATACGTACACGTCACTTCGAAGCTATGCACGACATTCCCTTCACTCGATCGTTTTACGTCACGTGTCCGTGTCTATGGATAAGACAGATACCGTACTGCGGTGAGACTGGTGTACTGTCACGGCCGTTACTGAATCTCGATTCTAAAGACAGGCAAGGCAAATCGAATGATTTATGCGAGGAATATTACGAGAACTCCGCTAGAGAAGTAATATAATTTTCGAGAAAATTATTGCAAGGTTGAATAACTTGGTTGAAGTTTCTGCGCAAGATTGATCGTTATTCGATTCAGCCTCTCAATCCAAAGACGGCTAGTCAGAGCTTGTACCACAAACTTTTCCATCAAGTTTCTTCGCTGACTTGTGAAGCTAGTGCTCCGTGGGTAACAACAATGTTTACATGACCGCTCCGTGCGCAAGTTGGAGAGGTAGTGTCAACACTGACATCGCTTCGAATTTTAATAGAGCACATTGAAAAACAAACTGCTATTCAATCGTGCTGATGGGTCACTGACATACCTCGAATTCCTTCCTATCAATCAGTCCATTGCCATCGGTATCAAACACGCCGAAAATCTCTTTCAGCCGATCGTCCTCCAATCCGTAAACTTTTCCACGGTCATTGCGAAAAAGTGCCTTGCAAATGAGCTCGAACTCGCTGATGCTCAGGTAGCCGTCTTGATCTTTGTCGAATGCGGCGAAGCACGCGTCCATGACTACTGTGCACGGCGCTCCGAAGAACAGCAGCAGCTACGACGAGCTGAGCGCTGCTAAGGTGCTAGTTTGATCGATATCGCGTCACTCATGAGCCAACTAGTGTTGATCGAGTGAACGCGTCATTCTCGCGCGCCCCTCGACGTTCGACGTTCGACGTTCGACGTTCGACATTCGACGTTTCGACCGACGATTCTCTCGTTTTTCGCACCAGCGCACCGCCTGCTAGAGAACCTTTACGTCAAAAGGAATCTTGATAGTTGGCAAGTTTTATATTTAGGCCTGTGCGATAGCCTTCAGTTTTTGATGATAAGCCTATCTGTTCTCAGATGTAAAAGTGTAGCGCAGTACTACTGCAATTTTCAAGAAGCTCGTCAGCTATGAAACTATAGAATTGGTTATCGATTTTTCGCCAATATATCAGCGCAAAGTAATACGGCTAAACAAATTCTACTATTAATTTGTACATTTATTCCTTCCCTAGCTGATATTATTATTCGTCTTTTCTTTAAATAGCAGGTAATGCAATAATTTGTTCAGTGAGGCTCAACTTTTAAAAGATTTATTTATAATTAATTTTTGTACAACGATGTTTTCCTAGACTTATTGCGAAGTATTCTTGCTCAACACATTCGTTCTCTACGGTTCATATTCCATTACATCTTAAACCCATACAGTTATAGTCTTTTCGAAGAAAATGTTATTGAGTCAATTCGATTTTGCAAAAGTGAAAAATTGGCATGTAAAAATCAATATTAAATATGCATTAGGTGTTGAAAAGTCTCAATTTTTTTTTTTGTAAACAGTCTCTTAGCAAATGTTACAAGAGGTTTCGAAGCAAACTTACAGTACTTGACGTTATAAAAAATGTCCGTAGCGATTTAATGTAAAAACATCCTAAAGCTAAGGTAAATTTGGTATAAAAGTCAATTGGCGAACGGAAATTGAATGAAGCGCGTCCGCAGCTACGCATCATGCGATGAAACAAGCTGTAAATATATGTCATCGAAAACGGATATTTAAATATATAACAAATTTCATTAAAAGACTCGAAGAACGAGGCGGTGCACAATTATACAAAAATCCATAAGTCTTTAATGTTGGCGAGCGAACAATCGCCGATGGAGACTTACTCGACGCTCACTTTGGCAGTTACAGCACGATTAAAATGTTAATCTTTGGCATATGTAATATCATCATTTATATAATATTTATTACTAATAGTAGTCCAGGTGAGTTGTATCATTGTGTATGCCAGGCGGTAGCATCTCAAAGTCGCAGAGAAGCCTTGCTCGTCATGTCCTTCAAATTTTCCTCTCTCTCTCTCTCTCTCTCTCTCTCCCTCTCTCTCTCTCTCTCTCTCTCTCTCTCTCTCTCTCTCTCTCTCTCTCTCTCTCTCTCTCTCCTTCTCGACTCACCGTTTTATCGGAGTAAAGTGATTGATGATTTGTATGTAAAACAATTAAACATTCGTACGTGGTATACTTGCACGGCTATTCACGCGAGGCAGCTCATCGGCTTTACCAAGTTGCATCGAAATTGTTGGCAATTCTGGAGCGAGCAGGATATTTACAGAATTCTAATATTTTCCAAGGCTGTGAATATCGCTGCTGATTTTTCATTGTATGCTACGCTCTTAAAAACATCTTTGAGCAACGTTTGAAGCATTGATCATACATGTATCGTAAATTCTTGCCTTTCTTGCTCCTTTCGCTGCTGATGTCTGGAAAAAGTGAAAATGATCAACAACGTAGTCATCGGAATAGCTGCTATTTTGCGTCAACAGTTGTAAATAGCTTATTACCAAGGGCTCACCTGGCAAGCATAGTTTCGACTGCTTTGTATGGCGACCTACCGAGGCTACCACCGTGACGCGTACCGATGGACTGCCCGTGCCAGTCGTGGCCATTCTGATCGCGTTCGCATTCCACTTCAATCAACTCGCGGCTGTCGCTGAAATCGCTTGGCGGTAACAGCGTCATGTCTTCTACAGAACTACGAATCAAAGTTAGATTTTGTTTGCTTGAAATTTCATTGTTCGTTGCGACATTACTTTCGAATTATTTAGGACACTTAATTCAAATATGGCAACAAATACAAAGAAAAAATAGGATAACAGATGAACTGTATAATCTGATGATATTACATAGTTCTTCTAAGTGTCACTGCTCAACGAATTATTTGATTATTATTACTATAGAGTGAACTATAATTTCGATGGTGGAAACAAATGAATGAGAGTTATGCTTGAAGATCAAGCTAACACGACAACGAACTATAGTAATAAAATCAAAAAATAATAAAAAACGATAAAAAACGATTTGATCGAGTTCGATGATTGGAGGATTTGTGAGTGCTATGTGAAAGCAAACAAACCTTGGCTACCTTCGAGTGGACCTGCCGCTAGGCTGGCGGTTGCGACGCCTTCCTAGTGACGGCGAACCTTCATTGTTCGACTCGGTGCTCGATTCCACGCCCCGCGAAAACACATCTTTTTTGGACAAATGAAAAATGGTTTTTTCTAAGAATATTCCATTAGTATTTTTCGAATGATCCTTTGAAGCTTTTCGAGAAATGTTAATAAATAAAAAAAAACATCAGCAAGATTGTAATGCATTCTGTGATGCATTTGCAAGCTTACCTCTGCAAGGCTTAACGGGAACTCGATAACTAGGACCAGCGCATTCGCCGCAAGGGCTACCAGAGGTGTCGCTACCAGAACCTTGTCGATTGTTACGCATCTTGCTCTCAGCTTCGGCTATGCTCGGAAAGTAGCGTTGTTTGTGCCACCTTGGTGTTTTCGATCTAAAGCATATTAGAGTTTATCCTTTCATATTAACAAATACTCTTCGGATTAATCTCAAGTCATTCGGTTAGTCGTCACCTTTCAAAGTCAATGCTCGAATGCTCGTAATCGATGTTGTTTATGTCTTCGTTCTCCAAGTGGCCGAAAGTCTTGAACTGCATCGTGTAGTCTAGCGTGGCAGTGGTGACAGATCGATTTTCTCGTCCTGGCACGCTGAACGTCGCGTAAGGACTTATTTCGTACATTTCTAAAAGAGCCAATATTATGATTATGGTTTGGACATCGCACTATACATTCACATTGTCAAAATAACGGAATTATTACCAGAGCCATGGTCCACGGCGGGTTTATGATTATCTTGCTTGACAGGTGAGCTAGTGTACACTTGATGATTTCGCCTATTATCTCTTTCAGCTGTAGATTTCATCTGAACGGTCGACATACAATTTGACAGATGATGATGTGCTGAATGAGCAGAATTAAGTCCTAAACCTGGCTGTTGTTGTCCAGGTAAGATATCACCCAAATAGCCAGCCCTGTCATTTGAAACGAATTTCAGTTTTAATTCAATCTGCAATCTTGTTTGTTGATGTTTAAACCAGTAAAAAAATGCAAACCTTCCGTTCTTTTTAAGCATCGCGTAGCCAACGACGACGGCCGAAATAATCAGTATAACAGCGCATATGAGCGGTATAATAACGTAGAGCACCTTGTAGCTGTGCGCCGCCCTCATGGCTTCCTCATCAGTGATAAGATCGTTCAGCGGTCCAATGCTAACGCCGCTCAAAGTAGTAGTTGCAAAGTCCATTACAGATTGCGTGGAGCCTGCGTCGTTGTGCGCCGTCAGCCTCACGCTGTACCACGTCGCTGGTTTCAGATCTCGAATGATGATGTTATCCGTTGCTTGACTCGTTACCAAATTCCACTGCTCGGAGCCGACCTTTCTTCGGAATTCCACCGTGTAATACTCGATAGGACAGTCGCCGTTCGGCCAATTCAACAGTAACAAGCGTACCGACGTTGCGTTGGCAATGATGATTTCACGTTCTTTCGGCTGAAGAGGTGCTGAAATGAGTTTCAACGGTTTTTCAAGCGGACTTGTGCAGCCTGAATGCTCTCTCGATATTTGTGCTCGCATAATAATGAAGACAAATGGTCAGCTGCTCGAAGCCGAGCACAGGGGACTCACTAGAGAACTTGTCGTTGGATCCAATTAATTACCTGTGCCTTTTGTGGTAGCGCTTATCAGAGGGCTCGGGTCCCCGGTGCCTACTCGATTTTGAGCTGTCAAGTGCGCAACATATGACGAGCCGCACTTCAAGCTCGTTAAAGTAAATTCAGTGTTCTCCGGTGATAGGCTGATCTCTTCCCAGCCGCCCTTGTCCTTTTTGTAGCTCAACACATAACCTGTGGAGCAATAAGATACCAAGTGAACATTTTCGCGCTCGTTTGCTCTTTTTGTCGGAATACAAAACAACAAAATTTGCCTTGAATATTTGCTCCGCCATTGTCCGGATGATTCCAATAAAATTTTATGCTATCCGTGGTAGTATATTGCAGCTCTAACGTGGGTGCACGAGGCGGCATAACAACAATCAACGTATAAGTTATCGAATCATCTCCGTACGTATTACTCGCCGAGCAGGAGTAGTTGCCAGCAACCGACTGCTCCAATGCTGTAAAGTAAGGATGAAAACCAATCGATATTCCATTCGCATGTTCTTTTTTCCTCGAGCGCGTCTTCGCTTACCGTGAATTTTCAAATGCCCGTCAGAGGTAATCTCGTAGTGTTTGCCTTTCGTCACTTGACTATTTCGGTACGTCCAGAGCGGCCTTGATGTTGGATTGCCAACGACAATGCACGACAGCATCACTGCAGATTTCACCGGTTTCCGCAGAAGCTGAGAGAACGAAGCTACTCTGGCCGGAGCTAAAACAGTCATCGTTTATTACGAAGACGTGTAACGGTGTAGAGCTGGCGGCTGGCGTCAGACGCATATGTGAATCACGTGTCTGGCGCTCGCCTTTGTTTTTCAGCAATCGAGGAGAAAGAAAACTATTGTAGCGCGTGAGGAGAGTAAGTCTAGGCACGCGGTCACCAGCCGAGTGTTGGCGGTATAATAACGGCATGGTGGGAGGAGAGAAGGAAGCAATGACTAGTTGAGAATAGGATTGCTGTTTGGTCGGACGTCTCTGCGTGTGCTTAGTTTGTTCGTCCCTATATATACTGCATTGAGGTGATGACAGAGAAGCAGGAGGACTGATCGAGTCGTAAAAAGAAGAAGCGACGGGCCGTCTCGAGCAAAATAGGGACGAAGCAATCCGAAGACGAGGAATCATCCCTGAATTATGCCTCTACCATAAACGATCACTGAAGAAGTCCGTCGGCGAAGTCAGGTCAATCTCTCTTTCTCTCTCTCTCTCTCTCTCTCTCTCTCTCCCTTCGTTTCCTCAGCGACTCGCGATTTGGATGATAGCGGGGCCAGGCTTTTACGAGCCGGCCCAGGTAGCAACGGTTTTACGGTCGGTTGGCGAAGCGAAGTTGCCAGACATTCACGTGCCGGCTGACTCATCGCCTTGCTGCGTAATAGGCTAAGTTATTAAGACAATTTGTATTTGTTGTTGGCACTTTTTGAAATGTGCCCTTTTTAGTTAAGTGTGGTAAAGCGTAAATTCGTGTTGTTTTTCAAAAATTGCCTTTCTATCCTGCCTTCGTCTGAAGCAGTTCGCTGCCTCCCTTATTAATCTTTATAAAGAATTGGCGATAGCGAGAGGAAAATCGGCCTTCGAGGACTGACGCTATTACAGACGGAAGATCGAAAAAGAAAAAAAAAGTCGATTCGCCGATGACTTACCCTTCGAATCAGTCTTTTGAGAAACGACAATGGTAGGTTCGCCTTCGCCCCGGGACGTTGACGCGGTCACCCAAAACTCGTAAAGTTGCCTGTTGTCACGAAGCATCAACATTATTATTATTGGGTTTCATAGGCAAGATTACAGTAAGCAACAGTCGATTACCTTTCGTTAAATTCGCGCAATTCCTTCGTCAGAGTATCGGACGACGAGCTCGGTGGCTCGTGAATCGTGTAGGTGTTGTGTCTGCTCGCACCTGCCTCTCTGAAGTAAACTGTGTATTTGGAAACATGGCCGTTGGGTTGCAATGGTGGAAGCCAGGATACCAATATCGTATCCGATGACAAGGCCAGAGCCTTGATACCAGCCGGTGGTCCGGGTACTTATAAGTTGAGATCCGATTAGTAACGCGGTTATTTCGATCGCTTTTCCAAGATACCAACCATCTTCTTCGGTGGCGCAGTAAATAGGATTACTCAGCACCCCATCTCCAGCACCAGTGTACGCGAGCACTCGTATCGAGTAGTTGGTGTACTTGTACAATGTATGCAAGTAGGTTTCGTTGCTGGTCGTCTTTTTTATTTCGCCGGCTGTCGAGATTTCCACTGAAAGGAGACAAAAACGTTGGTTTGTTTGCTTTCTTTTTCCTCTTCTTCGTTGTTTTACGAGAGGTTGTAGAAGGGCGCTTTACGAGGCGCTCCCTGGCTTTCAGCACAGAGAAAAAGAACGTACTGTTATCGGTCGGCACGGGGCGATAAAAAACTTTGTAGCCTTGAATAATTCCACCATGCTGATGAGCGGGAGGCGCTTTCCAGTGTACCTTCACGCTTTGCGACGACAGCGACTCGCAGATTACCCTCGTTGGTGGTGCACTTGGTACTTAAATTCGTATTATAATTATGGGTGGATCGAACGAGAAACGAGCGATGAAATAAAGCTTAAGATTTCTTACCTCCTTCTTGGGTGGTGCCGGTTATGGGAACGCTTGGTGGGCCACTAGCGATACTATTGAAAGCTCTTATCGAAATGTCGTACTTGGTGAAATTTCTCAGTCCTGTTAGTTGAACTTTATTCGTAGCCCAACCATTGACGTTCAAGCTCTTGCTTTGATTGACACCCGATGTGGAGGACGAATGTTCCGACCAGGTCACGATGTAGCCTAATAGGTCGCCGTTACACGATTCCTTGGGTGGAGGCTAGCGAAGTAGTCGCATTGATTTTGAGTCCATGTAACTTGCAAATGAAATCCCGTTTAAGTAAACTTACCTCCCAACTTATTATCAATTCCCCAGGACCTGCAGAGCTAACTTTAATGTTTTGAGGAGGTTCAGTTGGTGCTGCAAAGGTCAAAGTGGAACTCGGTAAGTATTTTACGAAAATGACGCTCGTTTTATTCGAACAAGCTGTGTCCTACCGACCTTCTTCCTGGGTTTTAGCTACCACCGGTTTGGTCGGCTCGCTTAAATCGATAAAATTTATCGAAAACACGCGAAATTTATAAGTGACTGCGGGATGCAAGCCACCGACGAGGGCGATTTCTTGGTCTTCGTTGGTAGCGTCATAGCGCGTGATACCTGCAATTTCACGTACGTGAAAAAGAGCTTGGGACGAACGAGCGAATGCGAACAATGCGAACGATCGATCTAACCGTTTTGCGTTGGACTAGTCACCCCGTAGAAAGAGCCTGGTAGGTGGGAGATATTGTGCGTTTTCGACGGCTCCCACTCGTCATCCAGCATGCCGTGGGAGACCGGCTGATATTGGATGATGTACTCTCGAATGGGACTGTTGCCGTCGAAGGCTTTGTTCCAGGAAAGCTTGATCGACCTCGAGCCAATCTCGATGACCTCGAGAGCCGACGGTGGATCCGGCCGCTCTGCCGATATTCAAATCTCAGTTTCAGCATTTCATTAAAAGAGGCCAATAATAATTATTCATATATTCGATTGCGTAGGTCTAAAGAAAAATATGAGTGCCTGGATTAGCAGGCGGAAATGGGCGCTCATGCATATTGAAAAGCTAGAAAGGGCGAGGGAGAGGTGGTCACGAACCTTGCACCGCGAGATAAATAAAGTGCTCGCTGCGTCCGTAGACGTTGTCGACAGTGCACTTGTAAACGCCGGAATCCTGTCGATCGCTCAAGCCAATGGACATTTGCGACTTGAGTCCGCTGTCGGTCTTCACTTGGCTGACACTCAGTCTGTGAGTATTGGCGTCGAAGCGATTGTTATTGTGCGACCACTGTACGTTGATCGGATTGTCGCCGATGACCGTACAGTCGAGCACCACGGACTCGCCCCGCCGTATCGTCACGTTCTTGCTCTGAAATTCAAATCTCGCTGGCTCTGCAAACATACAACGACTCGATTTTAGGATAAGGCTCCCGGGAGAGGCCGTATACATGCGCCCGATAAAATCATCGAGGCGGCTACTCTCTCGCACAGTTTTCAATTTATCAAACAATCGCTGTGGGGCGCGATTTTGGGGCGCGATTTTGGGGCGCGATTTTGGGGCGCGATTTTAGGGCGCGATTTTGGGATACGATTCATCGCCTTGATTAGCCTTTGTTTTATTCATCACTCGCGGGAACCAACTGTTCAACCACTCATCTCGTGCCCGCACACTCGTAAGTGCTTGGATTTCACTACCTTGAAAGCTACTAGTTACAAGGAATCGTTTGTCTAGCCGTACGTCGAAGCGGGCTGGCGTGTCGATACACGAATCGATCCGTTCGACTACCGACATTCATTGCAAATGATTGAGGGAGTGATATAGTATTATCGGCAAACAGAATATCCAGCATTGGCCTGCTTTTCAGAGTAGCGGTAAGGCAATGAAATTTTAACATCCCATCAAAACGTCCGAAAATAGGGCCGGAGGAAGGCTGTCCGCGCATACCCTAAACTCGTCCATAAATCATACCGTTAACCGAGACGTATATGACTTTGCTCAGCCCAGATCCGATACTGTTATTCGCTCTGCACAGGTAGTGGCCTTCGTGTTGAGGTCCAGCTGAGTCCGTCCATAGTGTTCCATTTGGCAGTATCGTTAATCTTCCATCCATGACTTCGGTCAACAGTTGAAAATCGTCTGCAGTTCGCGCTCGACCGCGTAGCCACGTGACTTGTGGCGGTGGAAAACCGGTCGCCTGGCAGTGGACGTACAGTGGATTACCCAGTAAAGTTGAAACGTCCTGCGGCTCGAAAGTCCATTGTGGTGGCACTTTCACCAACAATTCGGCTGTCTCGTTGACTTTCGCGGCTTTGTTCGTGGCGACGCAGGTGTATTTGCCGCTATGACGCGACGTCACGTTCTTGAAGACCAGGAAACTGTAGAAGTCGTCGCGCTTCACTTCGATCTGGATCGTATTGTACACAATTATTTACGATATTTTCGATAAACATATACTAAGTATTTTCAAACAATTTTTTTTGACGTTTGAAATTCTACAAAATTCATTTTTCGTCCCGTTCTATCTAAGTTGCCCTTAGCCATTTTCAACTAACAGAAACTCTTCGTGCGCCAGTTGGACGCTTTTTTCTTCTCGTCTTTTCTTACATATCTACAAAAATAATACTGTCAGAAATTCTAATTCCACGAAAGCAAGTAACTTTTTCTCTATTTTAGTAGAACCAATTCTTATTTTATTGGATCGAAGAGCTAGTTATACTTCCGTTTTGAAATGAGTTTGAAATCGCGTTTGACGAAAGCAAGCCGCTGAACTTATCGACTTCGTAAGTGAGGGAGCGATATGGCAACAAAAGAAAAAAAAAGGATAGGTGAAGTATAGCGACTTACGTTGAGAGAAGAGGGTAGGGGTTCACCATCTTTCAGCCAAGAAAAGTGGATAGGAAGATCCCCGGAGGTGATACTGCAGGCTATCTGAGCTCGACTGTCCTCTTGCAAATTCGGTGGAAAATTTAACGGACTCATGACTGGTGGACCTACAACAAAATTCTTTAATTGAATCCTCTATTTTTCAATATTTTATAAATGAACACATTAAAAGACTTTTTAATGTTAGATTGCATACGAAGAACGTTATAATTAAAATTTAATATGATATATATAGATTTTAATAATTTTGTAATATCATAGTTAAAAACTTCAACAGTGTAACAGTGCAACTCAGTTAAGCTATAGAAAATCAGAGATATATTTAAAGTACACGCAAGCTCCTTCTTTCGTTGTATATAGATATTTTTTGACATTTATCAATTGATATAACTGATAACTGATATAACTGATTTTAGAATACCATTTTTATGAAACTTCTTTCATAATTAATCTTTTGCTACTTTATAAGACATGAAGTATTGCATGTTCATGCAATCAATAGTTTTCATTGTATTTACTTTTGTTAAGTCACGTTCTTTATGTAAATGTTTATGAAAAAATAAGTATATTATTAAGATTTTTAAGATCTTATTTTTTCTCGAATAATTTTAAGATCATTCTTTGGTTTTTAATAATTAAATTACATAACATTAACGATTTCAAAATCACTTTCATTATTGATTTTAATATTATCCAATCAGAATATGAATTTTATGCGAACATGTTGCAAACTGTACAATTAAACATGTGAGGCAAAACTGAATATTTCCTTATGTTTCGTAACTTTGTTTGTATAGTAACCACAATAAATTCAATATTAAGCATGAGGTTTTCTGGTATGATACGATCTGAATCTGAAATATTGTCGACCGCTAAATTCTTCTAAACCGAATAAAGCGAACTAACGAAAAAAGAAAAATGTACGAATGCATCATTTTATATATATATATATAAAATGATGCATTCGTACATATATAAAATGATGCATTCGTACATATATATATATATATAAAATGATGCATTCGTACATTTTTCTTTTTTCGTTAGTTCGCTTTATTCGGTTTAGAAGAATTTAGCGGTCGACAATATTTCAGATTCAGATCGTATCATACCAGAAAACCTCATGCTTAATATTGAATTTATATATATATAGCAAATTTGTAATCGAAATAAATTGAGAATATCAATATAATACATTAATTGTTTCCAATACGAAATTCGATTAAGTAATGATCGACGTAAAAAAATTTGAAATAGAACGACATTTTGGTAAAAATCAATAAACAAGTGGCTTCGCTGCTAAGGTATTGGAAGCTTTTGTAAACTGAATAATCTAGTTGATTTTAATAATAAGGGAAAATCATACAATGGAAAATAAGATTAAAAAGATAATATACTGACTTTGCACTTCAATTTGGATATCCCGGCTGGCGGTCTGGCCAGAATTGGCATGTACAGTGCAGGTGTAGGTGCCCTCATCGTTAGTATTGACCTCGTTGATAGTCAGCTGGCCCTCGCTGTCGAGCTTATGTCTGAGATCCGGAGGTAAGGTAGAACCGCCGCGGGACCACTTGACCGAAGTTACGGGGTAGCCGGAGTAAGGGCAGGCTATCGTGATGTCTCGGCCGGCGATCGCGCGTACTGGATTAATTCGCAGTCGGATGTATGGGGGTCCTTTGCCAGCCAACCGACAATTAAGAGACATACACACGTACACTTTACTATAGTTATACATAAGATATGGAGATATGCCAGCACAGCCGCCGCGAGCAGCTCTGACAGCTGGCGTGCTCTTGGCGACAATGAGTATGCTGTGATTGCTGAATTATTCAATGTGTATGTAGGACGAAACAAAAGCTTGTTGAGTATAAAGTGCGCTTATTATTTGAACGTCGCAGCAGGGCCGTTTAATCGTTTAAAAATCGACTACTACATCAACTGGTATAATAAGTGTTATTATGAATTCTCTATATTACGCGATTGTATTTAGTATTCACATGCCGATCACCCTTGCAACCAACGTACATCGTCAATTAATTAGATTTCGGACGAAAGCACAATAAACCTCATTAAATAAACAATAGTGCGCTGGATAATCAACTAGCAAAGGTAACAATAACAATACATAATAATAATTATAACAATATCGTGGGCTAAATAATTATAATCCGATAGCGATTTAGTATAGAAAAATTAAACGGAGATCTTGGGCAAACAGAATTCGACATAGGCACGAGAGGCATCTAAACCGTTATATTTTCTTTTGTGCGAATAATTATTTCGCGCTTTCATTCCAATAAATATCAGTTAGAATTAAATAGGGTTCTTCGGCCACGTGTGCGTCACCGTGCATACGCCCTTCGAGAATGAAACTTTACAAGGATGACAATTGTGTGCGTATTTTCTGGTCGGAGTCTCACTCACCCCATATATTGAGTCGGGCTTTGTGCTCGACCGAGGCCAGGGCATTCGAGGCCACGCAGGCGTATAGACCTCCGTCTTCCGTCGTTGCCGACGTGATGTTTAAGTGACTTATCACATCACCTGACTGGTCCACATACTGGCCTATCGCGTACCTAAACGGAATATTTGAAAAATCTATATTCAACACTCGTATTTTACAAATGCATATACATATTTTTATGTCATTATTATTAAGAACGGTTTATTTAGTAAATTGTATTCATAATTAGTACTTTGATTTTTATTTCAGTTTCAATAGAATATAATGTATTTTACTTTCAATATACAATTGAATTAATCGTTATAGAATCAAATTAGAGCTTTATACAGTGTAATTTATAAAGTGTAAAGTGGACAAATTAAGTAGTACCTGTGACTAGACGCAATCTCGTTTAGTGGATCACCGTCGAGCAACCACGTGAAAGAAGGCGGTGGTGAGCCAGTAGCAGAGCACCTTAAGGATACAGGTGGACCTGGTCGTAATGTTTGCTCGATGAACGTGTATTGCAGTTCTGGCACGGTATCTATCATAAACGAATTTATTTTTAAATTGGAAATCTTTGGATTAAAACATTATTCTTGTCGATTTCATATCAATATACGCTCAACAAAAATGTTTTGTTCCTGACTGATCATGTAAAAGAAAATTCTTTTTCTTTACTTATTCATTAACAAAGCTCCGTCTAAATTTCAAATCCACAATTACATCCGATTGCTAGGAGAGTAAATATTTATTTTCAATGTTTCAGTGTAATTTTAGCGTTTGCGTTTGTAGTTATCCGCCCGCTAATTTATAGTTCAATTTGTAGGTTTAATAGTAAAATCATTTAAATGTCAAATCATCATGAAATTTGCCATTTTAATGGTTCTAGTAATCGTGATACATAAAGAATATTATAAAATAAACGCTATACATAGACCGAATGTTTCGCAATTTATGTCACTAGCAATCCTGCAAATAAATTCTAACTACATTAAAACCTAGACAAATAATCCAAATAGGTCAATCGGCAAAACATAAATTAAATTTGTACTGAACTGGATCGCCGCAGTACAGTAGTAATTAATTTACAAACTCTTCAACTTTTCAAGATATTAGACCGAGGTGTTAATTAATGTTACCACTAAATAGAATTTGATTCGAAAATAATGAGAAAGCGTGGTAATTATGAATTTTTGATTTTTCCATATTATACGTTAGTGCTCATTTCGTATCATCGACCATATAAAATCTCTTTGCTGAGATTTATAATTCGATAAATATTTTTCAGCTAAATTCAGAAATTTACAAAAGTATCAATTGAAAGTTCTAGTATACGAATTACCTGATATCATTTAGATTATTCTATAAAATTATTTGGAATGACATTAAATATCACATTAAATGTATGATATAATTTAGTAAATGTAAGTTCAGAGAGTGATGATATTGGATGAGAAGTTATTATGAAAAAACTAAAAATGAACAAATTAATTAAACATGTCATCGCCAGACTTATATCTTGATGTACAAGTAGAAAAAAGAAAAATATATTTATAGTTCCACGAGCACGTGCATCCAAATTTAATGATATCTAATATGCGTTGTTCTCAAACATCTAATAATAATTTACATAAAACAGCAGAAAATGATCACTAGCGCATACCAAATAAAAATAGCTGAAATAACACATCTTTCTGACTTTATTGTGCTGTTATATGACATATGAGAAAGATTCACCACTTACTGAGAAATTTGATCAGATTATTCGTCAGATACGAGAATCGGATATCAATTGGTATTGAAGCAAACAAACCCATCGATAGAGACCTTTTATAATGACCGTGAGGAAATCTACCAAAATGTTTGTGAATATTATTGTTAAGAAAGTAACCATATGCCTCCTCATAAGTCATTTGATATTATGAGCGGTATTTTCGTGTGAATTGATGTTTACATAAAAGCGATACAGTAAAAATAGGTCGATAATACACGAAGAACGGCTACGCTGCTAACTACATGAAGAGTATTTTCTACTGCGGGTGAACAGTATCTATCTATAAAGATATGCATCTGTTCGAGACCTATTTGAAAAGAAGTTAAGCTAGTTACCTAGGTAACTAGTGGTAAATAACCTGTATATAAAATTAAACACTGGACATTTGATAGGAACGATAATAATATAGGCAACGGACTGGAGGCTGGGATATGTCAAACTACAAAATAATTTTGAATAATATTCTAAAATGAAATTCGCTATATTTTCTCAGAATTATGATAAAGAAATAGGTTAGCTCGAATGTATCCTTGAATATTGTTAGAAATAAAAAAGAAAATGGACTGACCGCTCGTCATCTACTGAAAAAATGCATATTTATGATAAATAAATGATGTCGAATTTATGAGAGGTATCGAATCAATTGCAACAAATGCAAAACGTAAAGCGATTATAAATAAGTGACGGCAAGCAACTTACCACCAAGCCTGAGCTCCGCGGTAGCCTGCGCGTTCTCTTTGTCGCTTCTGACTAAGCATTGATACATGCCCTTGTCGCGTCGACCAATAGAACCGATGACGAGCACCAACGGGGCTGGCAGTCGTATTCTCGAATCCTGGCTGGAGTGTATCGGAACCCCATCGTGCAACCACTCCACGCTCTCGATCGGGAAGCCCTCCACCGTGCAATTCATCGTTGCCGTCTGTCCTGAGTTTACGACCTGCCAAACGAAGCTTTTGTTTATATACGCGCTTTGTTGATTCTTTCAATGAATTGGACGGCTGTCTGTCGATATGGGTCACGTTCCGTTGATTTGTTTTGCAGTCGTGCACCTGACGGCGATGATTTGCTCTTTGTTCAGGGTGCATGCAATTTAATTTTCAGCCCAGCCGAGATGGATTTTGGGACGTTTTTCAGCTTCGCGTATGTCTCATTGCACTTGTCGCTACACTATTTGTTGCTGTACGCTTAACGATCGGAAACCTTTCACTTTAAATAAGCTCTATCGAAAATAAACAAGACGATCATCGATTTCGATGTATGGATATAGACGGTATGCATAATAAATAAAATGTCAAAATAATGTCGAGTTGTTTTTCAAGTGCGGTCAACTTATCATCACTTAACTGATAAATTATTCATTAATGCGTTTGCTTTTCAGAACGCTGTAAAATCCAATTAAATTCGCAATGCATTTCGATAGAGCTTGTACAAATAGAGTTTATCGATGAAAAAAAAAATATTATCCAGCATCGTGTGATGGGTATTTCAATAAAAAAAGCAATAAAAAGGCATCTTTCGCGCGAGGGGAAAATACATCAACGCGTACTCGCAAATAGAGACGAGGCGGCAGCGGTAATTTTGGCGTGGCGCGGTAAAAAAGTGTCGGAGGCCAACGCTCAGAGGAAATCCGATAATGAGCTTTCCATCGGCAAGAGATGGAGAGAAAAGTAGCAGTTTAGCAGAGAGAGAGAGAGAGAGAGAGAGAGAGGGATCGAAGTGTATGTACCTGGAGAAGCGGCTGGATGCGAGCGTTCAATTTCGAGGTGACAGAGAGATGAGTCTCGGCTTGTTGCTCGCCAAATTGATTGCGCGCGCTGCAAACGTATCTACCGGCGTCTTGCACGTCCACTCTCCGGATCCTCATGAGGTCACCCCACAGCTGAACACGACCGTACGACTCCACTGGCACCAAACGCCCTGTCATTTCAATTGCACTTAGGAGACCATTTTCTATATCTTTTTTCTATTTCATCAAGTGAAAGAAATCGAAATTCGAGTTGGATGAGCAGGAAATTTAAAAGGTTTGGTAAGAAACTTTAGAGCGACCTACGTTGAAAATCAACTTTAAATAGATCCTACGCAAACCTGATACTCTTCTAGGAAATCTCTCTATAGATTGGAATTTCAATATTAATATCTTTGCTAATGAAATAAAAGATTATGTTTTTATTGAAAAATATTTTTAAAAATATAGTTGCACAAGTTCCACAAAATGACAATATTATTTTCGTTCAATCATCCAGCGGTACTTCTCATTCTCGTTAGGAAAAATTTTGATTAAAGGAAGAATAGAAAGACGTTGATAGAGGAAAAAGTTGGATTACACTTGTATGGCACTCACCGTTGACGTCGCGATACCAGGTGAACTGTGGTGGTGGGTTTCCTTGGGCCGAGCACGTGAGATGCACGTCGGAATCCCGTTCGGCGGAGATCGCAATCTGCGAGCGCTGCATCAGCTTCGGTGGCATTGTGCTGCTCGGCTCTGTGTGTCGGCCCAATACAATATCGCATGAGCGAGGCAGATATAACGTGGTGTCGAGCTCGAGGTTCGCATGAGCTCCCGTAAAGTTAGCTAAAGAAAATGTGCGCGTGAACTAGAGCAGGTTTACGGCGCGATTCGACCTTCGTGACTTTAACGCCGGCGAGTAAATATAATTAGAAGCCAATGTTGATGACGCAGATTGCAACGAAATTCGCGCGCGTTGATAGTTGCTCGCTAGCAATCAGCTGGAGATTAAAATTAATCTCCCCTCTGGCCAGCTGCACGTTGTACGCACTAGCGCGATCTTAATGGAACCTGCTGATGCTAAAAAGTTGCGCGAGATGAGCAGCGCAAGATTGGAATACACGTGTAACTGACCAACAACAGTGAGGGAGGCGGGCTCGCTTTTTCTCGTCTCGCTGGTAAGCGAGTGTCTGGTCAGGCATGCATACGTAGCACGTCCATCCTCTTGCCTCGTCGACTTGATGTGCAGGTCGCCCTGCGACGTCACCACGAATCTACCACCTGCAAACAGTATTTGTAACGCTTCGCTGTAATATACATCGCTAGCTCGGTTTGAACAGCCGTAGATTCTGCTGCTGCTGCTGCTGCTGAGATAGCCTTTGCTTGCTTCAGCTCGCTCGCTCGCTCGACAAATTTCCGACATGTCGTTGCAACGGAGCATCGACTGGAACCCAAGCTTTTTCGCCTTTCCATTCTGTTTACCAATGCTACTTTTCGACTGACCGCATTTCCGTTGCCATGGCAAAATAGTCGCAGCTGTACACCCATTTCCAGTGTTATTTTTGCGAGATTACTTTGCCAATCAAACCAAAGCGCGGGAACGGTCGGTAAGCACTGTCGTGTACTAAAGTCGATATCGTGCCAAACCGAAATTGGATATTTGTGAAAATAACACTGCTATAATAATTTAGCAGACGCAAATTCAATGAAACGAAAGTAATATCTAGGAAAGTAATATCCAGTTGAAAGGCTCGTTTGAATCGGCCAAGGCGAAATTCGAATAAACGAATTTGGATTAACTGGAATATTTGAGGCGCGCCGTAGCCTTACACATGCAATAAGCATTACGAGCAGAACGTGTATACATACGCCTTGCCGAAATTCGCTTAGCCCAGGCGAACGAGCATTTGCAAATTTAATCGGCGTTACAATGAGATTGATGCCCTCAGGAGCAATGCACGTCAAAGCAGCAGCGCGCATGACCCGTTGACCTCGTACCAGCTCATTAACCAAAAGCCCAAAAGCCTGACGCGCTCGCAGTCGCGAAATTGAACGAGTGGTAAAATAATAATTCATAGGCCGTGTAGGCGCGCGAGCTACGTTTGTGTACGCTGGACGAGCAGCGTCGTTATATCGCGACGGAAACTCGTATATATACATTGTGGCTGCGCGAGTGCACGCTCGAGTGGTCTTCGTGTCTCTCTCAGTCTTTCGTCTTTGATGAATGAATCCTTTCACCGGCAACTCCCCGCTCCCTTTATCCAGCTATAGAGCTACGGCGCTCGCGCAAGGATTATTGTTTCTTATCCTCTTGGCGACAAGCAGAACCGAGAGGTTTACTACTGCTCGGGCTCCCACGACGACTTGTATTAGGATGCTGGCTCTATTTCTTGCTTTTTTTTATCTTTACAACACGACTTTCCTTTCATAAACACTCTAAATTTACAAAGGAATTAATAAAATGCTGCAATCTCTTGCCGTTGGATGAATAAATAACGCGCGACGAAAATGCGCATTGGCGGTTACTGCTTTGTTGCTTGTTTAAAATTTTATCGACTCGCTTCAATTAGTAGGAAAATTCACTGTTTCAGCGAGCGGCTACAACCGAGAGCGCGGAAATTCAATTTCACTCGTAGCTCCGCAGCTACGGTACTTTATACGAGTGCATCAAGAATGTGATATACATCAAAATAAGGCTACTCTACTTGCTCCTGCACATCGTCTTTATTGCGAGTAGTGGAGGACGTACACGTTCTCAATACTGCCACTGAATTCCAGAATGATTGAAAATTACTTTAAAACGATATCTACACAGCGATTAGAAGCCAATGCCTTTATGATTGTGAAAAACGCGCAAATCACTATAAATATTCTTTTATTTTCATTTGGCATTTTGCTAAGTAATCGATGGCGAATGCACTATGCCCAATTCCGAGTCGGTTACATGGAAGTAAGTACGGAAGGTGTATACGAAAATTCTAACCGAAGATCTGGCTAACGCTTCGAAAAGGCCGTACGTCAAAAGGTGTCTGTCAATCAAAAAACAAAATAGGAAAGTAACGGAACATCGTAACCGCGACTAAAATGACGATGACTGCATTAGCGGACAGTTGGTCGAGTTTTTAACGATAAAACTTTGTTGGTGTAGCAATACGAGTTTGGCTTTTCCAATATCATTCCAGAGAGGCGAACCATTGAAAATAGCTGTAATACGATAATAAAAAGGTAAAGGCCTGGGTTATTCCACGAGCGTACAGCAGTAATCCAGCTGAAAAACCAATACATTATCTCGCCTGCGAATCGAGCATCACGTCGAACGAGAAAAATCTCCTGGCCTGGCGGCCGGACGCGTTGAAACTACGCAACTCTACTCTCCCTCGATCCCTCGGCCTCTAGCACATAAAACCATCTGACCGCATCCGCGGCAAAGACGTACGAGCACGACGCGCTCGGCAAATTAGAAAGAAATGTGCGCGAGCCGCCAAGCGTGATAGCGATTTAATATTCGGCCGATACACGAGGAAAAATACAAGCAGCCGTAGGGCTGCAAATATGAATACCTTAAATCGTACATATGGCCCAGCCACGTCCCTGTGTTTTACCGTTAGCATATATACCTTAGGCGCTTTTGCTCGCCCTTTTTTCGAGCTAGATAGCCGTTGTTTTTGGCTACGATGCATGGCAAAGCCAAACAACTTTTTGCTTTACGTTATTTCGACATCAGACATCATATTTTTACTGGCTTGAACGTTGCCAACGATTTCTTACAAGTAAACTTATTGCTCTCGTATCTTCATTACTACTGTAACTGATCAATACTTTTTAAACGCATATAGCGTGCATGAACAAATAAATCAATAACCATTGTTGCCATTGCCAAAATTTTTTCACGCTTGAGACAATGAAATATAGAATAATATAGCGTTATGCCGGCAAGCTACGTAGTTTTGATAAATGACGTTTGAAAAAAGTAAGGTTGTACATTAACGGGCAGATCTGCCTGTGGTGTAGGTGGTTATTGGCAAGAAAAGGCGGTAATGATGAAGCGTGCACAGGCAAGAATTTGGAAAAGACCAGCGATAAAGGGAGAATAATTGGCGGTGGACAAGAGGCTCAGTCTAAAACCTCATTAGAGCGGCGGCAAACCCAGCTAACTAAGCCCCTATCGATTGTTTGGCGCTAGACCACGCTCGACTAATTCATCTTAACGAGAGCGGCCGTTAATCAAACTCGCACCCTTTACGCTGGCCAAAAGTATCCTTCTCTTCGATTGTGTACGTACGAACGTCTTGTATGGCGCGTGCTTACCTTGGCCGCGTCCCCGTGTAATCCGGCTCGTGCGCCAACGAACCAACGAAAGCAACGTGTAGCAGACACAGCATAAATATGTATGGGACATGAATGCCTGAGGCGCTTATTTACACTCGCTACTCTCTCTCTCTCTCTCTCTCTCTCTCTCTCTCTCTCTCTCTCTCTCTCTCTCTCTCTCTCTCTGCCCATTTCTGTTGCTCTACTTATGCTCGATCTTGTTTGCCACGCATTAATCCTCGGGGTAAACGCGATTCGCGTGTAAATTAAGCTTCGCAAACTCACTGTGTATGCGAATGACGATTAGCTGCTGCCGCCCTGTTTTCACCTATCTTTTCAACGACCGGATAACCACGTTCATTGCATTTAAAAGATGCAGTCGATCGCTTTCTAGCGTGTCTCATTTCGCTCTGTTGACCAATGCTTAATGGACATTTCGCCGGCGCCATTTTATCATTTATACTTCCGAATTTTTATCGAATTCACCTTTCTCGCGAATTATAATGCCATCAGATTAGCATTTCAAAAGCTTCTCTCTTTTTATTCCATTGCCAAGGTATATATGTGCGTTGCAATAAGTCCTGTTTTATAATAAATCGAGGGACAGCCTCCATGATGCTAAATCATATTTTTACTGGAAAATCTGAGTTTAATACGGAAATTGTGTTGGCCACGTAATCCAGTTACTAATGATTTTGGTTTCCCTTCCAACCTTCTCGTGCACGCCAGAGATAAATACCAACGTCTGGGAAATCGATACTTGAATAATAATTATAAAATTAATAAATCATCCATAAGTGAAGAATAAAATTACCTCTTTGCGCTTACTTATCGTATGCGGAAAAATTACGTGATAAAATTCCATTTCCGCATTGGTATTCAGATATGTAGCTCTAGTCAGATGTAGAATTGACATCTCGTTACCTGCTACGGGCGTTTTTTGCCCCCCCCCCCCTCCCTCACATCCTCATCGCGTTTCAAATCTCGCTTTTTGTCTTTAACTTTTTCTCTTTTCTTTTATCGCTATCGGTATATAGACGACATGGCTTTGTTGGCGACAAAAGACCAAGTGTTTCGACGCGCGGATGCCCTATTGTGCTGGTCGTGTGTGATTCTAAAGTGACCGACGCGACAAACTGACGCCTTCTATAGGATACGTTCTTGGAAGATACTTTTTTGATAATACCCAACAACAACAAAATTTTAATTAAACATTTTTGATATTTTAATCATTAATCTTTACTGATAACTATACAATACGTTTTTTTTTAATGAAATGACTTACAATAATGAAATGAATGAGATTGTTCTTAAAAATTGAGCTGCCAAATGCAAATTAAATACTTAGACAATGATTTCAAAAGACAAGTTCAAATGGTTGGCAATAGGAAATTTATGAAGGAGACGTGAATAATATTGAAATAATACCCATAAATACGTGTTTATTTTGATAAATATGGACTATTGTAAAATTATGAAAAAAAATTTGTTTGTAAAAGTCACACGCTAAATAAATGAGAATTTTTAATAGAAATACATATCTCTGCCGACTCTAGTCGAGAAATACACGTTCAATAATAATTTTGAAAAAAACCAACTACGTGAACGGTGAAAAAATATATAGTTTGACGCGCATGTATAGCTGTATTGCCACGTGAATAAAGTTTCTATACGTGCGCTATTTATTTTCCCATTCGCAATATTAAAATGCAGAATCGCGAATAAGTTGTTCTGATAGAAAGCGAGGTGGCTCATCTCGTAGATCAAAATGGGAAATTTTTCATTCGTAGTAAGGCTCTCTTGTGCAGCTACGTAACGCTGATTTTTTGTTTCGAGAATACAGAAGCGAGACTATGCGCGCTCGTCCGGAGACGAAACATTTGCTTTGATGCAACATATGAGCCTGTAGCTGTTTGTTTACTGCTATTATTATTTGCAGAAGATTCTATTTAATGGATTTGCTTATGAATCAAGTGATTTACATTGTTCTTTTCTTCATAGTAATTTTGGGAAGGCCGATTTCGTTTATTCCTACAAATACCGATTCGATGCAATTTGATTCTATAGCAATTTACAAATTTTATTTTATTATATTTGTCGAATGCCAAAAATGAAATACTAATTTCTTAATCAATGAAACTATTTGACATTATAATTTTCTACCAAAAAATTAACGAACCATTAATTGATGATGCAAAAATTTTTACATTTATTACACAGAAGATTCTTTACGCGATATAATCGTAGTTTATGTAGAATTCTTTTCCAATAGAATTTTCAGTAGAAAGTTGACATATAGTTTTATAGTATCTTCTTTTCAGACAAATACCATTTTGTATTTTGTATTGTATTAGAAAGACGTTGTATTAAATAAAAAAGAAATAAACAAATTTGCGTAGAATGAAATCTCGTAGAATGAATATCAGTAGGAAACGAAGCCGACCTTTAGGACGTAAAATATTGCAGAATATCGTACACTGTATTTTCCGAAAAATAAAATCAGTTTTATGTGCGCAGAGATTCGAGCTGAATTGCAAAAAATATAAGCCTTGAATGTGCGCGCGCGTTTCGTATACTGATAAAATGCGTCACAGTGAAAATCCGCTCGCAGCTTGATTATTTTGGGCTACTCGTGATCCTTTTTTCGTTTTTCTATCAATGTTTGCTCTTAAAAAGTATAAATGTTACCACATGTACGTTTCACGTGCACTAAATATTTTTAAGTCAACAAAAACCATAGTTGCAAATATCCTTCTTCTGACCTGTTCCAGAGCAGCGGTCCCAATCAATACCGCTATGTATTCACTGTATTTTACGTGAGAAACAGTTTGATTTTTGAACCTTCGCGAGAGTCAAACTAGGCAGAAAGGGAGCTTCGACATTGTATGCTTATAGAATAGGCTCATAGAATATTATAATATGCCGTCGTATATTGCAATTATAAGCAATATGTTGTTTTTACTTCTACCGCTTTCTCGCAATATAAACTTGACATTTTTATAAAGCCCTCTTTTTTCGAGAATTGTATTTGCTTTTGCCACCCATAGTACATAAGTTTTTTCTAGAAAAAATCGTCAATAAAAGTGAAATACAGATAATTAATATATATATGTCAATTTCAGTAGTTTTTATAAAAGAAACGCCAAGATAAATTGAAACTTCGCCAAACGCCTATCAAACCCATTAAGCGAAGAAGATCCCAAAGTAATTATGATTCTATGACGTGAAAGTAAACGTTGTCTCTGCCCCCTCTTTTATAGTATTGAAAAAGCGAAGGAAGACGAAATCGTTATAGTCCCTTTCACGGACGAAAAGAAGTGAATGTTAGACGATAAAAGAAAGAGCGTGGCAATCCAGCAGGCGGCACACTCGATCGTATCCGCCTTAATACGTCGAGGAGAAGAGAAACTTCTCTCTCCTTTCTTTCCTCCTTGTACCCCACTACACCAGACGCAATCCCGTGCACATGTCGCAACAGCCAGTAGCACATGCAAGACGACAAAGACACACTCGGGACTGAGAGAAGCTAATAGCGCGCGTATCGAGAGACAGCTGCAAGATTTTTTTCCATTCTATTTTTTTCTTTTCGCTGTAAGCTTACTTCGCGCGCAAAATTATCAAGACAATTTCGAAACATATAAGACATTACAACGATAATCTAGTGACGAGGAAGGAAGGTAGTTAAAACATACGGGTTGACAGTCAGTTGCTGTACAGCAAAAGGCCAACAGGTTCGATCGACTTACACCATGAGCTTTGATATCGTTTTGCACTCGCTTGATGTCAATGATTCATTTCATGTTTTTTATAAAACCTGGATTTCTAGTTCTCAGCAACAGCAGCAGCAACAGCAGCAGCGTTGAAAGTGAGTACACAGTCTTTCGCTCGGTTACATTGCTTGGCAATCGTGCAAGAGCCGCTAAGTTTGCACTTCCAATAAGCTTGTACTCTGCTAACTCATTTTAGTCACGCCTCCTAGAGTCAAATTGAGCGAGCCGTTTACTCAAAGTCGCATCTCTTTGCTGTGCGCTGATAATCAAATCCTAAACGCAGGCTTCACATTTATAAGTTAACACTAAGCCAGACAAATGCTTACCGGGGTGATTTTCAATTATTCTCGCTCTAGCTTTAGAGATTTTACTTTCTTTTATTTAATCAATAGCTATTCATACGATAGATTCTTTGTTGGGTAATATTTTCGTGAGTCAATGTACCGACTAATCAGTGACAATAAAGTTTAACATAAAAACACACTGATAACAAAAAAACATTGGCAATTTTCTCATTCGATGAAGTTCTAAATGTTTGGTTACCCTTATAACACCATGCAGATCTTACAGTGACATTACGATGCAGACCGAATCACCGAATCCCTAGGTAAATAAATGTTTGTGTATGTACAAAGAACATGGTGACTAAACATGTCCGGGAAAGAGTAAAGCCCGCGGTAAATCTTCAAATGGATTTATCAGGCTTGGTTCTGTACGCGCACCAAACACTGATACACACACACACACACACACACGCGCGCGCATGCACGCACATACACACACAACTCTGCCTGGACAGGTGTAGTTACATACATACCTGTGTCGGTACTGCCGGGTAGTAAGATCGATTCGTCGCGATACCAGGACGTGACGGTCAGATGCTCTTTGATGTCCTCGCGAGCAGTACACGACAGCACAGCGTTGTTACCTTCGACCACTGGCGAGCGATTAACTCTTACCTCGTAACCAGGCATCGTTAACACTGTAAACACGAAGAAGCCAGTCATGAATTTTTCTTCACGTCGAAAAAGATGAAAATAATGTGACTGTAATGCCCGAGAGATACCGAAATTTAATAATAAAAGAAAACGCCAGAGGCGCGCACGCGAAAATGGATATTCTCAGGTGATATGAAAATTGGGGGAGTTTTGCCGAGATAGAGAGAAAGAGAGGAGTAAGACGTCGCATAACCTTCCGACCATAAAATTGAGACGCGCCACGTTCGCGGATGAAACGAAATGTGCAAATGAGGCCAATGTGCGGCTCGCTCGAGTGGAACCAACGATATTTTTCAAGTTGAGCGTTTCCCTACCTTGGGCTTTCGTTTACGCTTGTCACCACTACTATCACTACCACTCGGTCAGAGGAATTTTCTAGGAATCGCTCGTGGAATTAACTTTTGGTACTGCAGCTGCGCGCCGACGAAACAAAAAAAGCTTCATCGCTGTTTTTGCATTTTAATAAAATGCTTTCGGCTTTCAATTGCAACTGGGACGAATCTTTTGTAAGAGATTTTCCCGAGAGAGAGAGAGAGAGAGAGAGAGAGAGGGAGGAAGCCCTGTATGCATTGAGTTTGCATGAGTTTAAATCGAATGTTTGATTGTATAGAAAGTTTATACTATATTTTTTTTCTGTAAATCTAAGTAAAAATATACTATAGAAAAAGTTTGAATGGAAAAGTTGAAGAGAGCCGATGGAAAACGTATTTTAAGGTATCTCATACGCAGTGGATATATTCGTGCAAAATCTTAACAGGTCACGAATCCAAAGTGGATCAAATTGAAATGGCAGCAAATAAATTGAAAAACGCAAGAGAGGAATGCGAGGAGTAACAACTTTTCTCTCTCCCTCTCTCTCTCGTTCTGTCGACATGCGCGGTAAGCTCGTTTACCACCGCTGATTACTCGCCTAACTCACACCGAAACAATCTGCCCTCGAGCTTGATTTTTTTTTTGAAAATAGAAACTAATCTCGAAAAAAGAATACGAACAATGAGCTTTTTTTATTTTGGTTCTCGACAGCTTATTCGCCGGTGACTCATTCACTTTTTGCGTCGTAATCATGCACAAATTTAATTGTTCTGAAAAGTATAAAATTAAGTTTCCGAAAGATTTTTATGACGGTAAAATTTTCACACGCTTTATTGCAATGAAATATGCATCTTTAGTATGCATTTAATGATAATTACTATATCGAAAGATAATTTCGGTTACTTTTCTGAAAATGTACTTGCAAAATTAATCAATGAGATGGCGTCTAGCAACTATTGTAAACATGAAAACAAACGAGAATCCGCTCTCAGAATGAAAATAAATCACGTGGCTTTCTTCTGTTGTCGGCGCAAAATAAAAGAAAATAAAGAGAGTCATGCAGGACACTATAACTCTTTGGTTGCGCAGCGAGAGCGTCGGTGTGTGTCGGCCAGCGAACAATGCCACAGAGCTCTGGCAATTTTCATAAACAATGCGATAATTATTCATACGAGCTCGCACTTAATTTAAACAAACCGGAAGTGCGTATGTATAGAGCCGGTCAGAGAGAATAACTCGACAAAACCTTTCTCTTCTATATATCGTTTTAGTTGACTGCGCAGCCACGACCTCTCTCTCTCTCTCCCTCTCCGTCGTCATTTCGTTACATTAAATTCTGCCCTCGTGATCCCGAGCTATTGGCATAATTCAATAGTCGCCCGCGCGTTTGCCTACATTTAGCGTGATATCACAAGCCCCGGGCGTATTACAAATTCTATTATTGCCGAGCAACAATGATGGTTTAGCGCAACGCTCTCTCACTGCACTTCTGCAGCCTAATTTGCTTAATGACATTTTCGTTGCTGCATTTACACTGCGCTTTTTAATTTTATTTTTCGGACATTTTTCCAGATCCATATATAGGGGTAACACAATGAAACCTATGCAATCTTGTTTTATTTACGCTATTAACATTTCATTTTGAATTAATGAGTGGATCAGCCTAATTTTATATTTTCGGTAATAATATAAAAAATGTAGCCTTCATAATTTTATATGATTTTCTATTTTTAGCTCTATCTCAGCTTGTAGTATATCATCGAGCAAAAATGTACATGCCTGACCGCATCAGATTTGTACTACTGACTAATTCATTGCGTGTCGCGAGCAAAGTTTATATAAAATATCGATTTTTCAAAGAAGTACGCTCTATCAAGTTGGACATGAAAACGAGGAGAAAGCTCGATAAGATGTCGCTGTAATTTTGGCATTAGACGAATTATGAATAATTGAGAAAGTCACAGAGCCGAACAAAATTTGAAAACAGAATGTTTACTAGCAACATAGAGATCGAGAGTGTCGGGATAGTGAGTGACCCGAAGTGAACCTAGGAGCGCTTTCACACGCGTGCATACACGAGTGACGAGTCACGTGTTTGCGCCATAAACTTCGTAAATTCATGAATGCACAATAGCCGCTCGACGTTCCATTCGCCGAGTTAAATAACGTTGCTTCTTTATTTCTCCCCTACAGGCGTATATGCGCGTTGGCATCAATATGAATTAGCTAGCGAGAGCCAGCTTTTGAGTGGTGTATGCGTGCAAATTCCAATCACGTGCCTCAACGCTGTGTGGAAATTGATTCCAATGGATGACTGAAAAGTCCAGAGGCACGCGCGGATTTTGTGTGTCGGCGCGCTCGTACGCGCATAAAGAAATTCATTGTTTTCCGTGGCCAATTGTTTTCTTCTATTCTTTGCAAATGCCATTCGATCAACCGCTGCAAGACCGGCAGCTCGCTACCCAACGCCCGCCGCTACTTTCTAATTGATCTGGGATTTCAGCTTATTTTTTCAATTTCAATCCAACTTTGTCTTTGCCGGAATTTCGGAAGCGCGGTGAGCTTCTTCATGGATTTGCATTGTTGCGCGACACAGCGGCATTGTTTGCAGTACGAAAATCTTGCAGAGAATTTTTGCAAAGATACATCTATCTTAATAGCTATTTCAAACACTTGTTCCTGAACACATTTCAATAATATAATAGCTTCATATCAAATTGCTCGTGAGCTACTTTTGCAATACTTCGCGGTACACGAAAGCTCGCCGAGTCGTTGCTCATTTCTCGTTCGCGATTCATCATCAATCTCTCTCTCTCTCTCTCTCTCTCTCTCTCTCTCTCTCTCTCTCTCTCTCTCTCTCTCTCAATAAGAGAGGACATCGTGCAGGATCTGCGCACCACTCAAATGAATATTCTCGAGGCTATATCAGCTTAACAAAGGGGTTGGCTACGAAAAAAGGGTATACACAAGATTCTCTCAAGTATACGTCTCGAAGAAGCCGCCGTCGAGTAGGCCGCTACCTCTGCCGTCGACGACGACAACACAAAAGAGAGAGATGGCTACAATGAAGCCAAGCAAGGGGTGGGTTGAGGCTCTTGATTGGCCAGGGGCCCTCGAGCGTAGCCGATGTCATTTCAGATAAGTTTCTCTCGCGCTCGCATATCGCCTTTCACGCGAACACCCAGAAAGAATCCTCGAGTGCAAGCCCCGCGTCTTTTAGAGCGTCAAAGGGATCCACAAGGGAGAGAAAGAGAGAGAGAGAGAGAGAGAGAGAGAGAGAGAGAGAGAAAGAGAGAGAGGATGTAACTGCTGCCGCTGCAGCTAAAGCAAATAGTACAGTCGCGCCAAAGATAAGCGACGAATGCTTGTTTGCCTTGGTGGCTGTGCTTTTCGACGGTCGCGTAATCAGCACAGTCAAACGGATTTTCTACGGTTGTTGGGACATTTGCCGACGCCTTTTTTCGCGAGGCGTACCGGAAAGGATGAGGCTGACTTGTTCTTTCTTTTTATTTATTTATTTTTCTTTTTGACAAAAATTTGTGAAACTTCGACGCTCTCTTGAAAAATTTGATATGAATTTGATATATTTGATGAGGAAGTAAATTTTTTCAATTTCAGTTTGGCTGGTATTTTTTATTTATGTTCAATTTGCAGATGGAAGTATTTTATTTTTCGTTTTCTTTGTAAATTTCTAAATTCGCTTACTCCAATGATATAATCAACCTTTATTTTTGTAACTCGTATTATATAACAAGCTTTCAAAGTTCAAGAATGTTTACAAAACATACATATTATATAATGAGAGTGGCTCAGAGGGTAACTCAGGCTTTTGTGCAAAAGGTCGTAGGTTCAAATGCTAGGCATGTGAGGATTTTCAGAAATGAAATTTTCGTATGTTTGTTATTGCGATTCTGATGGTTCAGATTCTACCTTAAAATGTAGATCCAATCATGATGCGTGTAAAACTTTCTTCTCCTGTACTATTTCAAAAAATGATGAAGGAAGTAAGTCTATTCACTGATGACTATAGAGAACCAAGATTAATGCATAAAGATACCTCTGCAGCATTCAATGTGGACGTAGTTCTTGAAGTTACAATAACAATATAAAGAACTAAACTCAAATAACAATTTTAAAGCTAGCTTTAAAGCTTAAAAATATTAGTAAGTAGGTAGATCTTGCGATTACAAGGAGTATTGTAGTTTCTTTCGTGAAAATGAAAAATGAAAACGAACATTCACGATTGTGTCGTTTGAAAGTTAAACTTTCAGTAACTACAGTTCTTGAACAATACAAACAAAGAGCGTTATCTGTTAATCCAGGTTAATCTACATGTTAATAAAATATCTTGTACGACTCAGTATATTGCAATACTTGTCTTTCCCTCGGCTTCACTCCTTTACAGGATTATCTGGCATTGAAAAAAATTAATTCCCAAGAAATTTAAAAATAAATCCTTATAAATAAGTGAAACAGTACTTTTTGAAAAACATCATCGTCATTTTTTCCAATACAACTCGCTTACGAAATTGAAAAAAGCCTCGCATTCGAAATGGTTCGCTGTTTACTTTTATATCCGCGCATAAAAAGCAATCAACGAGAAGGTTTCCTCGGTACATATCAATGCGCTCTTTTCCTTTTTATTTCAGTGCATTGCATTCAAACGCCATTACCGAATAAATAGGTAGAGCCAAAAATCACCACTGAAAGCCAACGTCGTCGACGTTGTCGTTACGAATAGCCTTTTCCTTGCGTATGAAATTTTCAATGGCCGAGTACAGAGAGTTTTTTACTCTCCCTCGGACGGTCGTATTCGTCGATCGTCCAAGCATAAATAAACCTGCCAGAGTTTCTCGGCTCGTTTAAATAATTAAATGTATAATTACCATGAATGGATGGGTTCTCGCAAGCGTCAGGTGTCTTAATGAAGGGGTTGCGCGACAGACAGACGTAAAGATATGACGATGAACCTAAAGGAGGGGAGAATTCCACCTCCTGAAGGGAGCGGAAATGAAAGTGCGTTACCCTCGAAAAGTTTACGCGAGACATCTCAAATTGAGAGGACGAGTCAAGGCCTCCTCTAACGAGATGCCACGAGGAAAGAAGCAAAAGAAAATCCAGATTTTCTTTGGGCGCACCTCGATGAAAAAAATACAGTCATTTAAGTCTTATCTCGTGTATTTCCACGATCGATTCCCCCCACATTTTACTCAATACAATTTAACTGCTTTACCCGTTGGCTTCTACATGTGTGCGTCTACATGTTTTCTGAGTGAGTTTGCTAGGCAAAGAGTCCAAGCTAAAATATCGTTAAAGTACTCGATGCGCGGTAATTGAGTTTGCTCGCTCTCGGCACTTGCATTATTTATAGCTAGAACGTGAGTGCGCGCGAGAGAGAGGCTTCATAATTGGAATTACATGGAGCGACATATTGGGATTTCGCACGCGCGAGAGCGAGAGAGAGAGAGAGAGAGAGAGAGAGAGAGAGAGCAAACTGACGGCGAAACTTTGGGCTTCCGGGATTGTTATATCGGATTTTCCTTTGTTTGCGCAGACCAATTTGTCGGATTTCAGTTAAGCTATGTCACGCTAAGAAAGACACCTAACTGAATGATTTGGTACAGGTTTTTTTACAGCACCTCCTTATTCTTATTTGCTCGTTTGACAAAATCAGCAATTCGAGCCTAATCTACCAATTGAAAAAATTCGATCACTCTTAGTTTAATGCAGCGTGAACAAAGGGTATACTGCTCGCGCTGGAGTAGCACCTTAACGGGATCTCATCAAAGTCGCAAATCAGGACACGAGAGCGGAAAAAAACGTCGCGCACAGCCATGGAATTGACTCGTCTGGTTGCGCGCCGGTGCAATCCCCAGTGCTCGTTGCCGCTAACGAAATCGTTAGGCACGCACCTTAATGGAAAAATGACGACGAGACATTACGCTGCTTAGTTCCCTCGGGGCGTTTCTTGCTCGCTCGCAATCACCTGATTACGTACAATATTTAGGCTCGCCGATGCGTCTCATTCGGCTAAGTAAGAACTTTGCTTGCATATGCGTGTACGTTTGTATGCGTGCCAAGGTTCTCGACATTTTATATACTAGTTCGATTACCTGTTCTCCTCCCACGAGAGATTCATCGACCGACTCTGCAATTGACACGGAAATCGAAGGATTTACGGAAAGTACTTATATGTACTACTTCCCTCCCCTTTCGCGACGGTATATTTTCTACGGCTGGCTGAGCGCAATTCTCCACGGTGCATTGTTGACATCGTCTCATTTTAGCGTTGCCTCCACTCGAAACGCCTATATTTTTTTCTGACAATCAAATTGGACAATTCTGACAACAGGGGCGTGTGCGTTCAACTCGTCAGAAGAATAGTTTGTTTGCTCGTAGGCACCTCCGTCAAATTATTCAATTTGAGCAAGTTCAGAGATCGGTTCAGCCATTTGAAGCAATACAAATAAAATTTATTATTCCTAATGCTTTCTTTCACCTTCATTGTAAATTAGATAAAGTTGTTGCAGTGGTCAAACACAGGCTAGTACTAATGCTAATGAACGGAAATCCATAGAGGGAACAAATTGAGCTAATAACGCGCAATGCAAGTGTACGAGTACGTCGAATAATTCAAAGAAAACTTAGAGGTAAGGGAAAGCCTTTTCTTTTGAAGTGGGCTCGAGAGAGCTTTTTGGTCGATGAAAAAAGTGGAAAGCCATGCACACGGTATATATATCTAAAGTACTCCTCGCATCATTAATTATTTTTAATTCTTCTTTGGGCTATTTTTACGTGAGTTATGCCTTGCTCGGTCGCTGAAAACTGCGAAAGAACGCTCTCCTGAAATAAATCTATCGATTTTGTGACTTTGCGCTTCATTTATCTTACGCTCTCGTTTACCTTTATTTTTTTTAAGCTTTTCTTCTTCACGTTTGGCTTATAATTTTTTTACAACAGTATGCTAATTTTTCTATCTTTAAAGTAATATTGCAATCAGTAAATTTGTCAATTGATCGTAGAAAGAACGAATAGTCGAAAATTACGACGAGAAGATGAGGCATCGTGTATCCAGCCGCACATCGATCGATACTACAGAATTGTGTACGTGTATTGTAGCGAGTCCAAGCCATTCATTTTTACGACTTTGACTTTATTCAATCATCAACGTCATAAAAATAGTCATTCAGCAGCGCCGTAAAAGGGAGAGAAAGAGAGAGAGAGAGAGAGAGAGAGAGAGAGAGAGAGAGAGAGCAAACGTCGAACACGTTCCGATCGTAAAAGGTATTCGTCGAAAAAATCGAAGTCCAGTCCACTCAACCTGTCGCATTCCATTCCCTCGCGCAGTATCGAAACAAAGGCGAGTGCGCACTCACTTCTATACCCTCGCATTTCATTCCGCAAAAATGAGGAGAAATATATATATGTAGAAGGTAGAAAATTGACAGTGATTACCTGCGCGAAGGGTGACTTCCCTGGAGAGTACAGTGCCGACAAAGTTGGCTGCTCGGCATCTGTATCGTGCGTTGTGTATCTCCGCGCGGAAGTCCTGAGCCAAAAACGGTGGGAAGTAAAGCGTACCGTTGCCCAGTAGCTGCCTGCAAGATACACATACAAGGAAAAGATGCATGACTTATATATATATGTGTGTGTGTGTCGCGGATAATAAACGCATTTTTTTGTCTTCCCTCGCACGTTGTTTATGGCGCGCGGCGGGTGACGAGCTAACAAAGATCTGTTAATTTTTAGCGTTTCGTTCGCGCACTGAATATTATTTGCTTGTGCGCGCCGCGCCGTCTGCTTTTATCGCGCTGCAAGAGAAACACAGCGAGACACAATTTTTTACGACCTCTTCGGAGGCACACGCAACGCCAACGTAAACACGTATCTCTAGGGGAAGAGAATAAGCCTTTTCTAGAGGTAGCTGACGCTCTGCGAGAAACATCAAATATCCTCGCTTGAAATTAAAGGATCGGCTCGAGAAAAATTCGAGAAATGCGTGTTCCCATGTCAGACAGAGCGAGAAAGAAGAAAGAAAGCAACCCCGCGCGTCTTGCGGAATTCACTGCGCGTGCCTTCATTCCTTCATTCCCGTCTTTCATTCCAGTCCAACTCTACCCAACTTTTATCTAAGTAGATTGCATAAGCGGCCTCCAGCGCGAGAGCATGTGCGCGTGTCAGCGAGTGCCCACGTGGTTAAATCAACTAGTCGCAAAGCGGCAAAGCCCTTTGTTGTCGCCTTGATCAAACCCTGACAGCTCAAGTGCTCGAGGCCTGAGTAGTCCCTATTAATCAAATTATCTGAATATTATTCGACAGTTTCTTACTCCAATGCCACTAATTATTCATATTTATACTCTTTTTTCTCACTAGTGTCACGTCCTCAAGCACCCTCATCTCTTGCTTTAATTCAGTATTATTCAGTTTCACGCTTCAATCAAATCAAAATTATTAAAGACGAATAACAGAAAACCAAAATACACCGTAAGTACATAAAAAAATTATATGCTTTAAAACGCTTACCAAGCGTTTACATTAATTGGTACAGAATCCAATCACGTTGGTATTCACCAATAGCAATAACTTCAAATCTAATAAAGTAACTAGTTCTTAGATGTTCAGCTATATATACATATATATATATAGGTAATATGGGCAACACACTAAATCAGTTGTACTTTATTCTTTATCAAATAAATAAAACCGTCAGCTACATCTCACAATTTGGTTTAGTTCATTTTTTAATATATTTATTTATGACATCAAGCTTTTCGTAAAATGACTTCGTATCAACAGATATATTATTTTAATTTAAGCGTTTAATTCTTCATTCGTGGTCATTTAGAGAATTTGTTTACATTTATCAATTAAATACTAAATATTTTTAAATAAATCAACGGTACCGAATTCTCTTAAATTAATTCACTGAATTTCATATGAAATATCGATTTATAATTCTCTCCATTATTAATGATATTTAACCACAGCTAAACTTTATAATAAAGTATATTTTATAAATAAATGTAATTGCAGTGTATTAAAATTACTTTATAGTGTTATTTTATGGTTAGATCGTTGAGAGAATTTGGCAGTCATTGTCTTTTTAATTCCTACAAATTATTTTACTTATTTATATTAATAGAATATCAATAGATGTAGAACGCTTCGATCTAATGTTTGTTGCGATTTACTTACAAGGATATCTCACGTGGCTACATTCAATCAGTCAGATCATGAATTATCGAAAATTACGATTATAAATTTCACACGCATCATTGATAAAATGACTACTCGGCAAGCCATTAATTTGTAAATATAGAAAAATAAAATATGTAGGATCGCGCTTTGCTCACTCATATGTTCTTTTTCATTTCTTATTGTTGAATTATTTAACATATTTACATAAATTACTTTTTCAAAGGTGAATTTTTCAATTTTTTTTACAAAACACATCACAATTTTCTAATAAAGATTGAAATATTACAACCTTTCTTTCCATCTTAAACAATCAAAACCAGATTATTAATAATTAGAACATTTTCAACCGTTTATTTTTAAGAAACGATTATTTTTTAGCTGCTAGTTTCATAAAATAAATGTATAAAGAATAATACGGTGACCTACTTTGTTTATTTTGATTATTTTTAAAATTACTCGGTTTAATTACGATAAAATGAATTTTTATTACTAGAATTAATTCGAAACCACATCTACACGCATATTTGCCGCTATGTAATAGTATATCACGTGACTATATCGCAGCTAATCAGATCACGAATAAAATGCTTTAATACGGTATCAATCACTTTTTTATAAGGGGATTATTCTTACTGCTCGCACTATAAGCACGTTCCAAATATCTCGAAAAGCCTTTCTTGTCTTTCTTCTATTCTTCTTATAGGACAAAGTTATTTTCTTTTGAAATTTTCGTAGCTAGAATGTTGATAGAATGTTTGGTCAATTTCTTCTTAGCATCAAAGATCATTTATGTTACATCAGCTTTACTGATTGTAGATCGATACCATATTTTCATAAATAACTCTATGTGAATACTAGAGAACTGACGTAAAATATTTATATACCTATAAAGCTAACGATATTTTACATTATCATACAAAATTTCACTTGCATCATCGAAAAACTAACCCAGGAATAGAAAACATCTTTATCTATTGAGTATCCATAAAGTTGTGAAAATAATTAAGAAAAAGATCATTACGGCCACAGTAAAAAATATTACTGACAATAAAAAGTGATTATAGCGTATTCACCATTTCATCATACCCTGTAGTGTACACATGAAATTTATCACAAAGAATTTTCATCAAAATTTGATAAGCTACGGATGACAGTGTTGTGCAAATGAGAAAGTCATCAGAGTGATGAGAGAGAGAGAGAGAGAGAGAGAGAGAGAGAGTGCTCGACACAACAGGAGTACGAGTTTAAAAAAGCCATATCGAGCTTTTTTTCTCACTTGCTCCCGTGCTAATTCGAGCGACGAACGTTTCTCGCGTCACCGGCTTTCATTAGCCAGCACGGAACAAACAGCAGCCAGGCAGTCACCAGGAAATTAAAAGTGAAGTCAACGTGGAAAAATTGAAAGCGCATTGGTCCGGAACACACACACACACGCGCGCGCGACAACGACGACATACGAATGACGACGATTAATGGCTGCGCCACGCCAAGGTAGCTAAGTAAATGCCGATGTCAGTAAACCGCGAAGGCATCTTTTTTTACCGTTGAATCACGTAGTCGAGCCTGAAGGAAGCGGAAATGAAGCTGAGACGCTTCATTATACGCCATTGATGCACTATACCACGTGTGTGTGAGCTGACATTACTTTTACCAGACCTTCCATTTTCAAAGCCAGTGTTATAGTTCAAGAAAGCACCATTACAATGTATTTTAAATAATAAAATAAGTGCGATATAAGGAAGGGTATTTCGTTTCAAGAGATCGTCGCTTAATAAAGAAAAATAAGCTTGATGAACAGTCATGTCTGACCACATCTTAACCTTTACCACTCCATCGGAATTTTCCTCCAGATGGCAGCGTAGAAGCAACGAAGAAAACGAAGAAGAAGGAAAAGAGAGTTTTTATTTCAAAGGTCCCGTTCGGCATATTAATGTAACAGCCGTGCTGGTGTCTCGAACAATTAATAAAAGTATCGAGCAAAGAAAGTCGGTATGCGTCACGTAAGAGAGGAGTGGAAATCTCTGTACCTATCATTCGAATCGTAAGCTACCTTTCCCTTTACATTTTACTGCCAAATGGAAAAGTTTCTTCACCTGTATTATATCGATGCCGCCACGAGAATAAAGAGAACCGATTTCATTGCGGAGGGTGATGAAAAATTCTCTTTTTAGAGCCTAAAAGACGAGTGTTTTCGTATAACTGGATGTTAGTTCGAAAAGTTTAGAGGATTTCCTTTGTAATTTTCTCCACTGCTCTCGCGTGCTTTGTTTGGACAACGGATGCGGCATGGGCTCTCTGGAAAAAAGTTCGACTTCGCCGCAAATACAAGCCTCCCTTTTGGTCTTTTCATTAAGCTCGCTTTGTCGAACTGATACACTCGACTACATGCGACTGTCGTCGACGTCGTTTCGAGTAATTACGATAAAGCTACAAGCGAATAATAATCCTTCTCGAGGCATGATCTCTCTCAACAGATTATTCCACGGTGTAACGCTAATTCCTTATGCCCCGATAGAGATGGTACATAGTTATACAATCAGTGTAAAAGAGAAAGTAATGTGGCCGTGGGATGATTAAAGCACTACGCCTTTTAAAGGTCGTCTCTGCCATCTCCCGGCGAGTTTCTCAAATTTCTACGCGGCAACAGAGGAAAAGTGGAAAGCAAAGTCGATTTACATGATGATTTTACTCCGGGAAGTCTTTTTCGACTCCCTTCAATGCTCTCCGCTTCGTGAAAATCAAACGACGCGCGAGCGCTTCAGTTTACGCCGAATAATTCCGAATGCTCGCCCATTACTTATGATTTTTCAAACTTCCGGATGTGGCTTGATAAATTTCGTTCGAGTATGAAGAACTTGATGATTTTTTCAGTAATTGACGTTGAAGTGAACGCAATGAAAGCCCCATGTTTTGATCTCTGCCAAGGAATTTTCAAAGAATAGGGTTTTTACGTACATAAATAAAAAGCGAAAAAATAATTGTGTTATTTATAAACTGGAAGTAAATTTTGTAAAGCTTACTTCCATCTCTGACGAGAGACTAGATTGAGTGAAAAGTAAAAACACTCAGCGAAAGGATTTGTCCGTCGGTCGCAATTTACGAATGAAATTGAACGAAAATAAAAGCAAGTGCGAGGTCATTCCTTTAAAAACCGCAATAAACCGGGAAAAGGAGGGAGAGAAGGAGAGGGAAAAGTGTTGGCAAGTGGAAAAATCGCGAAAACTCGTCTGCACCTCTCTCGCAGCTGCACTCAAGGGTCCGCTTGTCGTCCGTCTCTCTCGCCCCTTCAGCTCCTCTTCCTCGGCGTCGGCGTCGTCGTCGTCGTCGTCGTCGTCATCGTCGTCGTCGTCTCGCTGAATCAGAAATTTCATTTGGAACGTTGCTGCGCTAGAGAAAAGCAGTAGCAGCAATGGCTAAAAGAGAGCGAGAGAGTTCGCTCGTGGAATCTGATAAATGGAGGCCAGCAGCAGAATCGAGATATCTCAGAGGGTCGGAAGTTCGGTGGGCCGCACCTGCGGCTGAGGCCATTTCCCTCGGTTAATCGAAACGCGAAGATTCTCTCGATCCGGAAAACGTAAACTCTCGCTCCATCGCAGACTCATCTGGAATACTAAGCGTGGACAGAGAAAGAGAGCTTTTTCACCGGCAATTCCAAATGAGAAATAAAAGTGCGAGAGAGATTGCTTCTTAGGCCTTGCTGCTACGCGGCGCTAAATCTTCGAACGATGTTCATCTATTTCAAATCGAGTAGAATGCCTGAGAGCCCGGAGAATAGACTACGATATTCGCGCGCAAGTTCGCGCAGCAAAAGGAGACAGAATTGACTTTTAAAAGTTTCTCGTCCCCTAAGGCAAGATATTCCTTTGCAGGATGCCTGAACCATCCGCAGATTTCACTCGCGCGCCTTCAGCTTATCATCTCGCATCGCTGAAAGATGTGCTTATTTACAATGGAGATAGCGGCTTGATCGCTCGAATGATGCCTTTATTTGTATACCCATAAGTTTTTCGTCTTTTTCTGCTTGCGCAGTTTTGTGTTTGTCTTACATGCATAAAAGATGGACAAATTTAACAAAAGTGCTTTGCTCGAGCCGTGTCATCGTTTCGTCATGCATACAAAGCTTTTCACAACGACATATTGAAAAAAGAAAAAATAATCTATATAATGATTCGTTATAAATGGGATTAGAGTATGTAAAATACGATTGCAGGTTAGGAAGAAACAGATTAATAAGTACGTAAATAAACAAAAAATTAGCCTTACGTCGCACATAAGTCTGCAACCTAATCCGGAAACCATATAATAATAATTGCCTAAGTATTCGTCCTAAAAAATAAAAATAAAATGATAAAAGCCAGAGGAGGAATGAAATATCGAGTAAAACACGCTTACCTCAGTCCAGGTACAGCGTTAACGGGTCTCTGGTCAGGACTAGCAATCCATGTGACATGAGGCGTTGGACTGCCATGAGCCGAGCAGCTGAGTTGCGAGCCCGTGGTATTGGAGAAGACGAGCGTACTCGGTGGCTCCATCACGAACACCGGTCCCTGCTGCCCATGAATCCTTGGTGGCTGCCATGCTGCAACAGACACAGAAAAAAGAATTGAACTGCAATCATTATCGGCGAGGAAAAACGCTGACGAGGAGCTGAGCCGAATGTATCGATTTCCTTTGTCGGATGAATTATTTAGCTGGCAGCACTTTAAAATACAATTTGACGAAACTCTTTCCTTCGAGTGAATCATGATTCCAGCTCACGGACAGCTACAGTACACTATATACAAGTGAAAATACCGTGACGCTGCTCAAGCTGGACCTTGATTTTCCTCACTCTACGCGACTTGCAGGCCAATCTGCTCTGGGCTATTGCGACTATTAGGCTGGGCCAGTTTAACTCGTCGGCCAGACGATACAGCGATTTTATTTAGTTATTTGCTCAATGTTTGTGAATTGTCAGTAAGCTTGATCGAAATGATTGTCAAAGTAATACAAGATCGAAGAAAAAAAAGTAGTAGTGAGTGTGAAAATCTGAATTGAAGTTGATCGAAGTGAATAGAAGTTAGATTTGGCAAGCGATTGACCAAAATTAGGCCTGAGATGCGCGCGTGCCAGCCCCAACTTTTTCCGCCGTCCTGCTTGTTTTCTGCTCGCTCCTCGTCGCCGTCGCCTGCATTCCATATTGCGACCAGCCGAAGAAATCGTCGAAGGGGCGAGAAATGCACGTACCGACGTAGCAAGAAAACACGAGGCAGCCGTAGCTTAGGCCGAATATAACTCGTTTAGCTGAGCCGATTCGACGCACGTTCCTTTGCTCGTGTCCTCGTTCATCCTGCCAGTTGCTTTCTACGTGCGCGCCGCGCGAGTTTTGCATTTTCATCAAAAAGTTTCGCGCACGTCAGCGAGAAATTTTCGTAACGCTCATGCAAATGGCCAGGCGGAGGCACAGCAAGTTTCGCCGCATTGTCGCGCGCTTGCCAATCGATATGTATCGAGCTGTGGCGAGGACGAAGAGGCAGAAGAGCGAAGGAAAAAGGGCCAGAGAAAAGCAGATGCGCGCCGCTGAGAGTCGGGATAGCTGCAGGGACGCGCTTTATGCGGCGCTGATTTATACGCCGTTTACTACTCGCTTGCTCTCTCCTCTCCTGTCGCGCAGATATTTTCAGACGAGCCGACGAGATGCGGCAGCTCTTTGCGTCAATGCTACGTAGTAATGCATCGTCTGTATCTGCTATCGGCAAAGTTTTGTCTGCCGATCGAAGCGAGCTACGGCTTGAGCGCGACGTTTTACGTTCGCCCTTTACGCTTAGGCAGACAGAGTGCAAAATAATTTGACGGCAAACTCTTTTCGCGCAGTAATTTGTGGTGATGCCATTATACTGCATCGACCAAAAGGATTTACGCACCAACTTAGTCGGGAATATTCGCGATAAACGATCAAAATAGGTTCATAGAATTGTTAAATTATTGGACAAACGTAGCAACAGTTAAGTAGTTGTTATTTAGGTTGTTATTTAGTTATTGTTATTTTATTTTATACGCGAGGACAAGAAAACCAAGTACAGTATCCGAAGCTGATTTCTATCCAGCGTACTTGTATCGAATCTCTGAGACAAGATTTGAATGCAGTGTGCGCACTACACTGGCGTTCGACATAAGAATAAAAGTGCAGCGAAGCTGCACATGTCTACAGAGAGAGATAGAGAGAGAGAGAGAGAGAGAGAGAGAGGAGGGGGAGAAAAGTCGATTGGAGGGAACACCATTACGCACAGCGAACAAGTCCGAGAAAGTTCATTTTCAGCTAAAAGTGCACCAGCCGGAAATGCTACGTGTGTGTAGCTGTGCGACTGCAAAGTCCGACACTGTATAGACTTTGCGCGCAACTTTTCCATGCGCTGGGACTTTTCGACAGCTTGCTTGTCTTTCTCTTTTTCCGCACCCAACTTCCTTCAGTTAGCCGTGTAAATAGCCTTTTTCTCTTGATTTTGCACATTTATTCGGGAGCAATGATTGAAAGAAAAATAATTTCACGCGTAGACGCGTATCGGAAAGACACAGGGCAGAAGGGAGGAGCTGGGGAAAAGTACATCGAACTGTGGAACGTATTGGAATTCGAAAGAGGGACGCCTTTGACAGTAGGCATCTGTGACAATGGCCGCGAAAACAATGCGCGTCGCGAGCCCGCGAGCCCCTTCATACGCGAGCACACGGCAAAAATATTTACTGATACACTCGGCAAGTTCCTTTGTGCAAGCCTGTCCCGTAACGGATCGATTCGTTTTTTCACTACCTCTCTACCGTTGATATAACTGTTGATCAAAAAAGGGTAAGGGTTCGATGTGAATTACGAAAAAATCGTAAAATTTCAACTTTTACGGATTTTGCGCTTGTCTGTTCGCGGAGGTATTACTTATGATATTTATGGGGAGCCGGCCGAGCGGATACGAAATGGAGTATTGCCGAGAGAGTACCATATCTCTGTATGTATGTATAGTATTTTGACGATAACGTTATCAATCAATGAATTTTCAAAGCAAAATTCCAGCAATGCGCTTTACTTTCCCATTTGGAATACGAATGTGTCATCAATTGCCGCGTGGTTTTCCTATTCTATACCTTTTCGTCTACGTTTCTTTATTTTAAGACAAGCCAATTCATTCGAAACACACTAACCGTAATTTAATAAAATGTGTAAACTAATGCATTTATGAGTTTTCGTTCAATGCGAGTCTTCGTAAAATTGAATGCGATCGATAACCTCATTGTGAAACCACATATACGGTGATGAATAAAATTACAAAAAAATCGGTTTCCCGTCAAGCCTTGGAACACTCGCGCGACGTTTAATACAAACAAAGGCGCAGTGACTATTAAAGAACTTCATTGAAATATAAAACAGATGACTGGAATTAAGCGCCATTGCGGTAAATCAAGGCTTTTATCGGCTTTCATAATAAAGCTTCTTACAACTCACAATACATTTTTCATGTTTTGCGCGCTATGTGTAGTGCGTGTTTTTTTCCTCTCCTCCCGCGCCAGCAGCGAAGATTTTCAGTTTACGCTCGCACGCGTGAAAATAGCATTGCAGAAAACTGTCTCTCTCTCTCTCTTACTAACCCTTACCGGTAAGTGGCTCTACATACAGGCATAAATCATATCAACGAAAGTACAAATTTTACGAAAAAGGGAAAACCAAACAGAGAGCGAAGGATTCTCTACTGATTCGAGTGTTGTCATTTTACGGTACACGTTAAAAACGTCGATAGTTTATTATTTTTTTTGGAGCAAATATTATCATTTCATATGCATAGATATTTAAATCCAAAACAGAAAATCTTATTCCAGTTTACAATGTCTCAAATGAACATTTTGTAAAATGACAAAAATGAACGCAAAGGATTTTTTTTGTTATTAAAAATTCAACTTTTGTTAAGAAAAATTCATTTTTCCCTAAAAATACTTTCATACAGAAATAGATCTATTACTAGTGGAAGACAAAGAACTATTTATAAATATAATAGTGAAATTCAGTGAACCCGAGTGCGAGTCACCCATTAAAAGAAAAAAAATTAAAAGCGTCGCGCGTATCGACCGCACACACGAAGTCGCTATCAAATATACGCGTCAGTCTGGTTCACGTGTACGAGGCGCTGAACCGACCGAGAGAGAGAGAGAGAGAGAGAGAGGGCACCGCAAATAAATGATACCTCGTAAATGAGGGTAGAGAGGGTGAGAGTAGCATCGTCGATCAATCGTCGCATCCCGATGCAGCAACTACACGTACGCCAAGATATAATAGAGTTCGCGCGATTTTTCGAGCAATTATATTTCGCTTGAAAAGCGTCTTTCGATTCGAAGATGTCGACGCGAGGCGAAGGTTTATACGTGCGGCTGTGCCAATAATTTCTAATTAGCCGAGCGTTCGCCTATTACCGGCAACGTCGCCGCCTACGAGGAGGGGAGGAAAGCCCGTAGACCGAGCGAGCGTGACCTTATTAAGGGCCCAGACACGTCGCAAGCATGCCGGGCTGAGCTTTAATTGAAATGATGGGCTTGCGGTTATTTGGGAGAGGTCAATCTCGGCAATGCCTTACGTGGCTTGCTTGTCTCTCTTCCAAAAACTTCTGATGCTTGCTTCACTTTTTTTCTTTGCTCGCACGCCAGACAATATTTGCCGTGTTTAGCTTGAGATTTTAAGACTGTCGCCATTTTCACGTACTTATCGACAATTGCTTTTTTTACGCTCTTTCACGTGATTTTATACGATTTATTGATCTGTCTTTTATATTTAATGTGCGATTAATTTCGACAACTACGTTGCAATTTGCTAATGAGAATGTGAATTTTCGCCACGCGTGGAACATGAAATTTCACAAAAACGTCATCGATGATCGGAGAATGAAATGAAAAAATACTCGATGACATTATTTTAATGAAGTATACTATCGTTTATTTTGAGTTTTGAATATGAAAATTGTGCTAGCTATGTGATCGTAGCGTTGACTTGTTCAATGACCCAGTGAGATAGCAAAAAGACACGCATTCACATATATAGATGAGCGAACTAAGAATTTACTCGAAATAGCCAGTCGAAGAGAAGAAGGGAGAAAAAGCGCAAGCTCCATCAGGAAGGCATGGCCGAGACATTAAAATTTTACGATGTGCCTATAAAAGCAAGCTAAAGTGCTATTGCCAGTACAGGAGCCGCTGGCGTGCCGCGTGTCAGTCGCTCGTGCGGCTATTCGTTTTCGTTTCGCCGACTTGACGCAAGGGCTGATGGCACTAAAGCCTTTGCTTTCGTCGTCGCGGAGCAGTATCGCGATAGCACTCTACTTGAAAAAAACGCCACGTAATGACGATTTATACATGTGATAGCGCGGCGACTGCTCGCCTCGCAATGCCGCGCAACGAACAATGCGCGCCAACGAGAGACCCGCTCGCACGCTGAATGGAGCCTTCAAATAAGCAGCCATTAGCGTAATTTTAAAGGAGAGATGGGTTGATTCTGTGCGTCCGTTCTTCATTGCAACCCTTCTCGCTTTTTAATTGTAGCTTCAGCTGGGATCGCGTGGATGCTTTGAA